CAGAGTACAGGTGTGATGATTGGAACAGGAAGCGGGCAGAGTACAGGCGTGCTGACTAACCTAACTAATATGATTACAAGTTTGACTATATAAATTACTATTAATCTGTAATTTTTAATTATACAGTTTTAAATGAGCTACACAAATACAACACCTTAAACAAGAGCAGATATACATACACACAGTGTAACAAAATTGACCTTAAATCTGTATCAGTAGACCAAGATCCATATCAATGCAAAGTATTCACCTCTATATCAACCTCTCCCTTTTGGGGGGCGGGATTGACTGTGACCATTAATTACTTATAATCAACCCCCTTTAAGTGAAAACAAACATTTGTAAACAATCCTTTTGAGAATTTGGGTGTAGTTTTCTCCAAATTATTTCCTGCTGTTTGTTGGGCAAAGTGTTTTTAGGGTTCATGGAGACCTTTCAGGGTGGGGGAGTCTTGCTCCATCAAACCACAATAGCCTGGAGGGAATCCACAGGTTCTCATCTTCTGTGGAAACAAAAGCAGAACCTCTTTTCCAAAGTAACATATTCTTAGACTCAAATTTTGAGGTCAAGATACCTTTAAATATATATATATATATATAGCTTATCAGCCCCCAGGATCAAATATTTTTTCAGTAGTTAACTCATTACTATTACTCAGTCAAACTATTCAAAGAAAACACAATAATATACATTGTGTTTATTATATATACTCTCTGTGTCTTTTCTATTTTTGTGTGGCCTTTTTTTATTATTACTTTTGCTCCTTTAGCTTATCTGCTCTCTTTTATATTACTTTTACTGTCTTTAAAGACTGTTTTCTTTTTCAAAGCTATTTACTTCTTTTTATAACTGTCTATACTTTTTTCCTCTCTTTTCCAAGCCTACATACATTTTTTTAAAACACTGTGTCTTGTTTAGAGGTCTTTTATGTCTGAATCTGTCCTATTGTGTATCTGAAGTCCTTTTCTGACAAGAAGCATCTTAAAACGGTAAGCAGTAGATTGTAGCAGTCCTGGACACTGGCTCCGCTCTCTCGGCCGTTTAAGTACACTGCCAGCTCTGGGACCGCCGGTGGGAGCCGTGCTCACCACCTCAACTCTCGGAAGCAGTTGGCCCATGCTGCCTCCAAGTAACTTGCAGCACGCTCCAAGAGCCGTAGCCATTCCTGCCATTAGCATGAACCCAGAAGCTGTCTCTTTTTGCTGCTAATGCTGAGTCAGGAAGCCTTCCCTTAAAGGAGTCGCCAGTAAACAGAGCCTATCTGAAAATATGCAGCTACCAAGAAGCTGCGCTTGATTCCCACTTTTTGTGGGTCTGGAAACCCTCTATTTTTTTTTAAGCTTTTTTAGGTTTTATGTGGATCCATGCCCCAGACAGTGGGCACTATTTTGTAACCAGAGACTGTGCATTGGTTTCTCAACCACCCAGACCCAAATAATCACACAGAAACTTTATTAATTGCAGCACTCTTTGGCCTGTTAGCTCAGGCTTCTTATTAACTAGCTTTTACATCCTAACTTAACCCATTTCTATTAATCTATGCATCACCACAAGGCTGTGACCTACCAACAAGGTTCTGGCATCTGTCTCCTTCGGCAGCGACATGGCATCTCACTACTCTGCCAACTCTCTCTATTTCCTGCCTGACTTTACTCTGTTAAGCCATTGACCAAAACAGCTTTATTCATTAACCAGTAAAAGCAACACTTATTCAGAAGGACTCCTCCATCAGTGTCTGACAATTAATGACAGCGTGTTAGTGTGTTTATATACAGACCTGAAGTTTTTCTAAACTCCTGTTGCACTTTAATTACAGGCGTCAATCAGCAAGGTAAACGTAACAGAACCATGGCTCAGTTTCCAACACCTTTTGGTGGTAAGTGTTGAAAATTTATTTCAAATTTCCATAGCGGTTGGGGCCACGATGGAGTATTTCTGAATCCAAACAAGGTGCACGGGTAGTTGGCACTTCCCTCCTTGCTCAGCATCTTGTTTGCAGTTTACTTGTTGAGCTGAGCGGATCATGTCATACTCTTTCAAAGCCTGCATTTGAAGCATGGTATTTTTGCTTGTTGTTTCCTTTGTCAGGGTGGAGATTGCACCCAGGGCCTAGAGTTTGCTCGGTAAGCACTCTGTCACTAAGTGGCTGTTCAGCCCAGACTCTAGTAACAAAACATACACTGCGCTGACAGGTGATCTTGGCAGGGCTGTGAGCAGAGCACAAAACTTTACCGCCCTAGGTTGACCCTGCTTTCAGGTTCCAGTGTTATCAAAAACCCCAACGGAATGTAAAAATCATACTTCCTGTGTCAGTTGTCACCTATTAAATTCTCTGGAATTCCAGACAGACACATGTAGACTTTTCCAGGTCTTTAGTGATTTTTTTGTTACGTGGATTTTTTTTTGTTTGTTTGCCTTCTTAATTAAGTATATAATTTTCTATTTTGTAAGCATGAAGCTCAACAGGATTGTGGAAGTCCCTTTACCTTTGTAGGGCTGCTGGCCTGTGTGGGGAGAGGAACTCTTCTGAGTCACATGACACAGTGCTTGACCCCAAGCATCTGAATGGAGCCTGCCTGTCACTGTCACCCCTACCCTGCAGAGGGGAGGATGTTAGTTAGTATGTTCCCAGCTTGGGGACAGTGTCAGCTTCCACACAGTTTCTTGTCCATCATCTAGAGTTACTTTAGTGAACTTGTTTTGGAAAACCAGGAACAAAGATACATATTTGTTTGACTTGTGCCTCACTGAAGTTGAATTCATTCTGAAAATGAATACTCTGATAAAATGCGTGTTCTGTGTTTGACCATTAGTTTTATCAGAATATCTGTTTTCAGAATCAGCTTCCGTGAGCCATGATATAAACTTCATACAGTTGACTACTTTTAACTGTGCTATTTGGTGACCTTTAGTGCATTTGCCAAGTTGTACAATCATTGCCAGATACTTGCATATTTTCATAGGATCACACAAGACTCTGGTTGTGTTGGAGTGCTGCCGTCTCCATCACCTCTTCCTCCTCCACCTCCACTACCTCCTCTTCCTCCACCACCACCTCCTCCTCCTCCTTCACTACCTCCTCCTCCTCCACCACCACCTCCTCCTCCTCCTCCTCCACTACTTCCTCCTCCTCCACCACCACCTCCTCCTCCTTCTCCTCCTCCTCTACTCCTACCACCATCACCACCACCAGCACTACTATAATCTGATCACCAACACTACTGGTAGTGCCACCATCACCTTCACCACCAATACTACCTGCAGTTACCACCACCACTACTTTTATTTAATACTCATCTTGGATTTTCATAATTTTTACTGGTAACATTTTAGGCACCTGAAGGTAGAGTTTTATAGGCCTCAGACCTTAGTCTGTTTCTTAGTTTTATTGTTTGTTTGTTTGGTTTTGGTTTTGGTTTTTTGAGACAGGGTTTCTCTGTAGCTTTGGAGCCTGTCCTGGAACTAGCTCTTGTAGACCAAACTGGTCTCGAACTCACAAAGATCCGCCTGCCTCTGCCTCCCGAGTGCTCGTATTAAAGGTGTACGCCACCACTGCCCAGCTTCTTAGTTTTATGTAAATAAAATACTGACTTACTATGTCTTCATATAAACCTAAATGTAGAGTTACAGGACAGGTTTCTAGAAAGTATTTGTGCTATTTTTAAAATTGCTTTCTTCTTAATTTTAGACTTTAAACACATGTTGTCCAAGGACAGTGGTTTTGTACACCATTTATAGCATACCGACAGAACTTTGGACATGTGTTTGAACTTCTTACTTTCCTTGTTGAATAATTATCTTCTTGTCTTTGGACTGTAGGTAGCCTGGACATCTGGGCCATAACTGTGGAGGAAAGAGCCAAGCATGATCAACAGTTCCATAGTCTGAAGCCGATATCTGGATTTATCACTGGTGTGTAGCCAGCACCTACGCTTTCTCCCTGAGCAGTAGAAAATCTGTTACGCAGAGTGAAAGTGGGCACATATGACCAGTGGGCATTTAATCCATTTTACCCCCATCTTGTGCCTGTATTTCTGTTGTTACCGTCAGTATGTGTGTTGGGGCCATCATAGGTGTGTGGAGGAGGTCAGAGGATAGCTTTGTGGAGTCAGCTCTCTCCTCCTGTCTGCCCATGGTTTACAGCGGTTTGGCTCAGGAGCTCAGGTCTCAGGGTGGAGTTTTACCCACAGTGCTCTCAGGCCCTCGCCTATATTTTTTAACTGCTTCTTTTGTAACACCTTCAGACCTTTTACAGTCCTTCATGATTGTCAGGCTGCCTGCCGGGATGTCTTCTGATGGGATTTGCCTTAGCAGAGGACTGCATTCTTTAAAGAGGGTCCAGTCTGGGCCCTGAAGCTGCAGTTCTAATCCTGACTGGCCTGGGAAAACAGCAGACATCAAACACTTTCTAAGGGTTTTATTGCTGTCTCAAAGTCTTTTCCCTGCCTTTCTGTGACCTTGGCTCTTTGGTCACCATTCTGTAGTTCCCTGCAGGAAGTGGGAATCTGGTTTCCTAGGAGGTGTTTTTTATTTGTCTTATGATAGATCTCCAATTGACTGATCAGCAGGATTCTTTTTTGTTGTTGTTGCCTGTTCTGTTAGTATCAACAGTGTCAACATCGGGAGTAAAATCCTTTCATAGTGTTGTTAACTAAGGAGTCCTCTGTGTGTGCCTTGTTATATGCTATTCTCTTATTATGACAAAATGCTCTGTAGATCAGGTGCTAAAACAGAAAGGCTCGTATTAACTCACCAGTGCAGGTCAGGACTGAGGTTCCACTGCTGGCCTCAGACTTCACCAAGACCCCACTCTGCACTCTCCAGGACTCTCAGTTGCATCAACCTGGGGCAGTTTGGGTAGCTCATCTTGTTTAACCACAGCCTCAAGTGGATGGTCTTTCCCAGCAAATACCCAGGTCTTTTCAAGTATTGAGTCAGGTTTGTTATGGATTACTTATTAGAGACCTCGGACCGTTCCGAGGGGTCATTTGTGTTCATAGGATAACCAGCCCCCTCAATAATTTGAGAATTTTGCTCTAAGAGGATTCCTGTCAGCTGCTGCTCCTCTGTTTTTCCTGAAACCTTTCCCACTTTTTTTTTTTTACAGGTGATCAAGCAAGGAACTTTTTTTTTCAATCTGGGTTACCTCAGCCTGTCTTAGCGCAAATATGGTAAGCTGAAATTTTATAAGAACAGAGTATAAAATAAAACACTGTCTTTCTCTGTTTGTTTGGAAATACAATTTCTTATGTAGAAAGAGCGTGCAGGTCTAGCCTGGACTACCCTGTCACTTCTTCGCAGAGACTGCTTCTGCAAAGGGCTGCCGTTTGAGAGGTGTACCGCACGAACATTCAGTTGTACTGGGACATCCAGATTCGGGTAGTTTCCCGCTAGTTGGTGTTGGCTCCGTGCGTGTCACTCACGCTCCTCCGTGTGCTCCCCGTCTTTCCTTCTGATGGAATTATTCTTACCGTTCCCTCCGAGAATTAGTAGTAGCTAGAATGACTGGTGCTTCGTACGATGCAAAGCAAGTGTTGGTTGCTGCTGAGGAGCCTGAGTAGGAGAGGCTGTCAGGTACAGTTTCGGGCTCTAGGTTCCCAGCTCGGGGGCAGTGCTGGCTCTTCCCAGGACTGTACCTCCATGCTGTGAGTGTGTTGTTGTTGCCGACAGCACTTGATATACATAGGGAGTTTGTAGTCCTAGGTGTAGCACCTGCTGACTCTGCTGCTAGGCACATTTGCCATTTTTGATCTTGGTTTTTAATCTAGATGATTGGCATGTTTGTATTTTATAAACTTGAGTGGATTAGCAGAAAAACTATACATGATGGATTTAATGTGTGGCTTGACACATCATATCATAGGCCGTCAAAAGAAGACTCAGAAAGGTCAGTCAGTATCAGAGACTGGATCTTCCACCCTACTATACTTTTCAGCTATTTACTGGGACATATAACATACACACTATTGTATCAGGTATATCAGGTATATTGCTTTTTTTATATAAAAGCAATAATGCCAGAGTCCTGGGCTGTCTTTGGTTGTCTGCCATCTTTTTTCCTGGTTGTCAGCATTTTGGCAGCCAGTCTCTTTCCTTCTTTCACTAGTGAGCTTGCTTCCATGACGCTATTCTAGTTTTAACTCTCCATTTGAGCTAGAGAAGTAAAAGGCTCTGAGAGAGAGAAAGTGCATGTGCAGGAAGTCACGGCAAGCGGGCACAGGAGCTGTGCCCACTCACTTGGGTATCAGAATTGAGATGCACTTGTGTGGCGTCTGTTTGGACCCTCACAGGCTTCTTTTGGGTTGCAGCCTGGTGTGGTGCTGTTCCCTCCATTAAGGCTGTCTCTAGAACCAGCTTTCCAGAGCTCCCTCACTGACTTGTGCTTGTCTGATGATACAACCAACCACTGAAATTTCATTCATGGAGCATCTTAACCATGCTAGCCCAGGGCTGTAGACCTGACACTTGAGGACTCATACACAGACCAGTGTGAGCTATAGCATGGGACCCCATCTCAGGGACGAAAACAAAGAAAATACCAAAAACTTTGTTACTGGGATTGAACCCAGCCCCTTGGAGGCATGCCGCCCAAGTGCTCATGTTGGATTGAGTCCCTATGTGCCCACCTTTTAAAATTTTATTTTGGCCGAGCAGTGGTGGCACACACCTTTAATACCAGCATTCCAGAGGCAGAGGCAGGTGGATCTCTCTGAGTTTGAGTCCAGTCTGGTCTACAGAGTGAGTTTCAGGACAGCCAGGGCCACACACAGAAAAACCCTGTCTTGAAAAACCTAAATAAATAAATAAATAAACTGCCTTATTTTCATGCAAAGTCTTGCTTAAGTTGCCTTCCTTAGCCTCCTAAGTAGCAAAGATTACAGGGCTCTGTCTGTCCTCTCTGCCCTCTTCTTAACACCAGGGTGAGATGGGAATAATTCTAAATATTTTAGTTGCCAAGACGGTATCTGCCTGTTTCCTTCCCCTTCCTTCCTGAGAGGGCGATTTCTAGGAGTTATGTGATTGTTGGCTATTGTTGTAACCTGGCATTATGTACTCTAACCTAACTCCTTCAGAGAATTCAGCTTTCGTCATCAGAGTCTTCACTGGAAATCCTACTGGGGAGACAAGCAGTTCCCAAGATTGAGTAGGTCATAGTTCAAGAGTCCAGGAACTAGTTAACTGGAATACACTTTCTACAAAACAACGGCTTCTGAGATAGTCTGCTATCTTCTGAGATTAGCCCTGCAGCCAGCAATACCGGGAGACAGGAGGCAGGCAGATGCAGAGCTCTCTTTCTCCTCGGATCAGAGTCACAAGGATTGCCTGTGGCAGAGTCCATCCAGGGAAACACATGAGTGTGAGGATGGACAAGCTGTCATTCGTGACTGTTTTTAAAACTGAGACTTGAAGAGTTGAATACCACTGTGAGTTACTGAGTAAATGAGTATTGGAGCCGGGCTCAAAGGCAGCTTGCTTCTCTTAGCCCAGCTTCTTAGCAGATCTCATTTCGTGAAATTTCCAACTGCTTTCCAGAGCTGCTGCAGAGGCACTGAGTTCTTTCCTAGCACCAACACTGGACTGCTCACCATGCCTGTAATCTAGCTCCAAGGGATCTGAGCCCTGAGCCTCCAAAGTTGTTCACACATGCACACACACAATCGAAAACAAAATACATCTGCTTTTAAAAAGTGAAACCACACTGAGCACGATGGTGCCTGCTTAGTTAGATTCAAAGCACTTTGAAGGTAGAAAAACAGAGTTTAAGGCCAACCTGGGCTGCATGAGATCACCCTTAAAAATGAACTCATGCCCCTCTGGAAACAGACATTTGAAACTCTCCATTGAGGGGCTGGAGAGAAGGCTCAGTGGTTAAGAGCACTTGCTGCTCTTCAGAGGACCTGGGTTCAATTCCCAGCACGCACAGGGAAACTCACAACTGTTTGTTACTCCAGTTCCAGGGAATCCAGTGCCCTCTTCTGACCTCTGAGGGCAACAGCCATGTACATAGCATACATACATACATGCATGCAGGCTAATGCTCATAGTTAATTAAAACTCTCCAAAGTCCAAAGCTGCCACTGAATGCTCAAGCCCAGTGTGGTCCTGCTCTTGCTGTCTCCACTCCTCCCAATCCCAGCTCTTACCTTCCCTCCCTCTCTCCCACAGCATCTGCTCCAGAAGCTGACCCCTGTGTTCCTCACAGGGCAGGTCTCTCCTTGCCTCAGGACCACTGTGATAGTGTTTCTCCTTTTTGAAGTTGTAGAACCCACATAACTGCTCACTGTCTTACCATCCTGCAGAGAGATGCTCTTTGATGACTTTGTCCCCTCTCCCAGCTCCACTTCTCAGTGGTGAGTCTCCATCGCAGGGCCTTGAGCAGGCTGGAAAAAGGGCTTTGCCCTGAACCACAAGCCCAGCCCTTCTCTCTGGTCTTAGCCATATCTGATTTGTTTTAAACGAAAAGACAGAGACCTGGTCTGTCTTTAGTTCCTAGTGCTCACACCGTAGCAGGTGTGCCCATGTTTTTATTGAATGAGTGACCAAACTGCTTTAATTTCCCTTATTGCTTGGCCTTAATTTAGCTTAATGGGCACCAAATGGCAGATGAGTAGCCTGTGACACGTCTGTGTGGAGCAGCGACCTCCTGACGACCTCTGCAGGTCTCGTTAACAGGGTCTGAAAGCAGCAGTGTGCACAGGGCATACTGGGAAGTCCTCCCAGTCCCCTCTTCATTCTGTCTCCCCGCTGACATCTCTGCTCCTTGTTATGGTTGTTTATTGTCGTGGTAAAAAGCAGGCAGAGAACATAGCCTGTTTTGTGCTCATGTGTAGCTTCTGGGAACCAGCGATCGCTCTGCCTTCTCATCTCCTCGTTTCCACAGCTCCTGGTGTCGGGCGTGCCGTGTGCTTCTATCCCGTGTCCCATGTTTCCTCAGTCAGGTCATTTCCTGTGCATTGTGACTACCGATAGTTCTGTGATGAGCAGCTCTTAGCCGTGTGTTTTTATGTCGTTGTAAATGTACCTTCAGAGTCAATTCATAAGCATGCAGTTGCTGGCTCTGAGTAAATGATTATGTGGTTTCCTTCTACGTGGAGTTGTAGGAATTTTCCCAGCCGTGTGTCAGAGTGGTGTATGGTTTGTTTGTATAAGAAAATAAGAAAAGTATACCATTGGTGTGATAGTTACTTTTTAGTTCTATTTCTGTGATAAAACACCATGATAAGGCAACTTAGAGGAGGAAGGGTGTATTTTGTGCTGACAATAAGAGCCTGTCACCTTCACATTGGGAAACCTGGCAGCCAGCACCAGGCATGGCATCAGGCACAGCTGAGGGTTCATATCTAACCACAAGCAGGAAGCAGAGAGACCACAGAGGAGTCTTTGAAACCTCAAAGCCCACCCCCAGTGACACACTTCCTCCGAGGCCCACCAAACAGGGCTGCCAGGGGAGACCAAACTTTCAGATGCCAGAGACTATGGGCAGTATTTACCACTCAGTCACCACACTTGGCATCTCGCATCTCTGCTCATTCCTCACCCCCCTCTTGTTATATGGCACCACCTCTGATATATGGCTGATCTCCGATTTCAAAGTCAGTTTCCAGTCTCAATGTGCAGCAGTTACTTGCTGGGTTTAGCATGCGTTTTTACTTCTGAAGTTTTCTAGATTTGATGTTAATATTATCCAGGTTTACTGACTTTGGGAGGAACTGGTGCAGAGTTCACTGGAGAAATAGCTACAGTTGACTATGAAAAGGATGTCAGAGCCAAAACATTTTCTTTTTGCCAGAGGTCTTGGGCAGTGCTGTAGAAAGGCAGCTGAGCTCTGCTGTGTCGGGTGCCAAGAGGGAAGGAGGAGAGGGCTGAGCTTTGCCGAGTAGCTGTATTTCCAGAACTTCCTCTGGGTTCTCTGTTACTGGAGATTTTTTAATAGCTTTGGTTGTTAAGGGAATTTCTTTGAGAACTGTAGACTGGGCGTTCAGCTAGCTGTTAGAGCTGTGCTAGGTGCCTGACTGGCTTCTTTCTCCTTACCCAAGGGAGTGGGAAGAGGTTTAGAAGCACTAAATTATTCTAATTAAACTCTTATTTAAAAAGTCTCTTCTCACCAGGTGGTAGTGGTGCATGCCTTTAATCCCAGCACTTGGGAGGCAGAGGCAAGCGGATCTCTGTGAGTTTGAGGCCAGCCTGGTCTACAAGAGCTACTTCCCAGGACAGGCTTCAAAGCTACAGAGAAACCATGTCTTGAAAAACCAATTTTTTTTTTAAAGTCTCTTCTCCCTTACCCCATGGATCTCACATTGAATGTTTCTAGTCTCTGCCAACAACTTTTTTCAGGAGGAGTAGTGGAGGGTGGGCATCTGCTTGACTCTTTATTTAAACGTAAATAAAGTATGTGTGTTGCTGTGAACAGACTCTTTCTCCCCTGTAAAGCATTTAAAATAGCTGAGCATGTTAAAAATGCTTTGCAGAAGAAGGAAGGATTGCTCCCTTATTGGTATTTTTTAAATCTGAAAACTTTTGCAAAATAGAGCAGCTCAGTGTCCACCAGGTCCTGGCGTGAATACAGGTGCGAACCCAAGCAAGTGACTTTCACAGTGTGTGTTAGACAGCAGGACCAGAGGCAGGAGAGTTACTGAATCGTGCAGTCCTGTCAGCCTTGGTGTTTGTTTCAGCAGATCAAGGAAGGCTCACTATCTGCTGGGCAAATTTGGGGTGAGACTTGAAAAGCAAAACTAAACAAAACACAGGAACCTTCCTTCCAGTGAGTGGGTATGGCTCAGCAGCAGGGATCTTGTACAACACAGAAGAGGCAGTGATGATACTGATGACTGGTTCATGAATCTAAAACGCGCCACGCGGCGTTTCAGAGCCTGTAATCCTAGTGCTTAGGGCTGAAGGAGCAGGGGTTTATGGACATCCTCTGTGTAGTGAGTTGCAGGCTAGCCTGGGCTACCCAGAACTCTAAGTTAGACCGCTTAGCAACAGTCACTACTAAGAATCGTTCTAACCAGTCAAGTACTAAATCCATTTCTCTAAACTCAGAACAAGTGCAAATGCGTTCAGTAGTGTCTTAATAGGCAGAACGACCGGTGCTAAAGACTGCTAGAAATGCTGGAAAAGAAAGGTCGTGCCCTTTGTTTTTCCACTTAGGTTATTGTATTAGTGATATGCTTAGACATTTAGTAAGATAATTAAATCTAGCATACATAACTATTAAGAATTTGTGTGTGTGTTTGAGTTGGTGTCTTATATAGCCTAGGTTGGTCTTGGATTTTTGATGTAGCAAAGATGATCTGGATCTCTTAATCCTTCTACCTGTTTCCTGAGTTTCCTGGGATTACAGGCCAATGACAATACACCTGACTCTAAAATACTCCATGCTTAAAATAGACACCGAAGAAATAGAAATGTAGGGAAATAAGCTACGTACAAGTCTGGTAAAAATGATAAAATTCCATAAAATACTTTTGTCAATAAAATTTCACGCGTTGCATGAAGAAAGTGAGATATAGGAAGAAAATACTGTCTGTCGTATTAAAGGAAATAGAAGAAATTGAAAGACATAAGTATTATTTTCCTTGCTGGGCAAACTACTGTGTATATCTAGTGCAGAAGCAAACAAGCTATAGCAACTCACTGGCCTGTCGTCTCCCGTCTCCCAGGTGTATGTGTGTACACACACGTGGGTGCATAGGTGCATGGGTGCACATGTCTGTGTGGAAGTCAGAGGTAAACTTTGGGTGCTGTTCCTTAGGAACTGTCCACCTTGGTGGGGTTTTTTGTTTGTTTGTTTTTTTCATTTTTGGTTTTTCAAGACAGGGTTTCTCTGTGTAGCTTTGGTTGTCCTGGAACTCACTCTGTAGACCAGGCTGACCTCAAACTCACAGAGATCCGTCTGCCTCTGCCTCTTGAGTGCTGGAACTAACAACATGCGCCATCACCGCCTGGCTTGGTGTTTTAGCTTATTTATGTGTATGTATATATGTATATGTTGGTGTGAGCATATGCCACATGTGTGTGTGGGGGTGCTCTTGGAGTCCAGAAGAAGGTATCAGTTTTCTTGGAACTGCAGTTATAGGTTAACCTGTGTCCTGCGCTTTTTTCTTTTTGTTAAAGTTTTTATCTGTGTGATTGTTTTGCCTGCATGTATATAGTACATCATGTATCGTGTGTGCAGTTCTTGAGCAGGCCAGACAAGGGCTTTAGATTTCCTCCAAGAACTAGAATTACAGACAGTTGTTACCGGCTGTGTAGGTGCTGAGAAGTGAACCTGAGTCCTCTGCAAGAGCAGCCAACACCCTTAGCAGCTGAGCCATCTCTTTAGCTTCTGCATTTCGTTTTTGTTCACGAGACATGGTCTTTGACTGGGGTCTGGGCTCACCAGTGAGGCTCAGGTCAGTGGTCAGCAAGCCCAGGGGCGGAGCTGCCTGCCTCCACCTCCTTGCAGGAGCACTGCAAGTGTGCGCCTCCAGACCTTTCCTCCTTTACACACCGGAGCTCATGCTGATGCTTCAATTCCTTAAAAAGGAGAAGCAGACCTGGGTTGTTTGAGGAAAACTAATCTGGAAATCCTAAGAACGCTGAGAGCACAATAGCCTGTATTTAGTTCAGTGAGTGGAGAGCAGGGGTTGTCAGTATTGATTGAAAGTGTGGTGTGTGTCCAGAAGAAATGTGCTGTGATTGTGAAGAACACTGAATTACAGTTAGGCTAAAGATTCAAATGTGGTGGTGCACACCTTTAATTCCAGCACTCTGGAGGCAGATCTCTGTGAGTTCGAAGCCAACCTGGTCTATAGAGCGAGTTCCAAACCAGCCAAGGATGCACAGAGAGACCTTTCTTGAAAACAAACAAAATGTAACAAAACATATTAAAGACTGAAAACCTAAAAGCTGATAAAATAAATATTTTGTGTCTACAGTGTATAATTTCTACACAATAAAGAGCCATACAAAATCAGTAGACTAAAAGTCGCCTGTTTGCAGTAAAATAGTTAATATGCTGTGTATAGGGAATGCTTCTAAACTGACAGGAAAAAGAAGTATAATTCAGCAGGAAGTCGGGAAAGGTTGGGAGCAAGCTGTTTGCAGAACAGTAAATCCAAGCGCACTGGAAGCACCAGGAAAGTGGGGCTCAGGCTCACAGGAGCAGAGAAACTTGTGGTTTGTGGGGGTCACGGCTGCAGAGGGCCCGAGCTCCTGTCTGAGCTGCCATCATGCTCCTTCCTGCCCCATGATCCGTATGACCCCAAATGGCTGCCGGCTTCTGCCGGTCGTTTCGTTTTCAGGGAGCTTTAGTTTTTGTTGCGGGACAATAAAATGCTTTTGGTTGCGCTGCATGTTTTCATCTGTGGGTAAAAGAAGTGTTTTTCATATTCTCATGAGTGCACACAGTTGGGCTGGGCCGCGTCCTGCCTTTCACGTCCTTTTCCATGAGAAAAAGTGATCTTGGAAAACTCACTACAAATCCCACTTGGGCCGTGGGTGCTTGAGGATCATTTTGAAGTAGTAAGTGCACTCCCAAGCACAGCTTCAACAATGAGTGTGCAGGGCAGGGCTCTGAAGCAGTTGACTTTCCCACATGGGACCACATGCCATACCATCTCCCGTGGATGTAGAGCACCACAGAGGAAGTGGATTTAACTTAGTGTCTCTGGAAATAACTTTCTTCAGATCCCATTTTAATAACATTTAATTACAACATCATTCACGTGACACATTCGGTGGTTTGTAGAATTGTCATAGAATTGTGTCACCCCCACCCCGATCTGATTTTAGAACATTTTTTATTAAATTGAAATCTCTTAAAATGTAAGAAGTCATCAAATTCAGGCTGAAAGTTCCTCAGTGTCTCTGTGGATAAAGATAGTCACATAAAATGTGCTGGCTCTTCTACCCTGCCCCATCCCCAAGCCCCCATAGCTTGGAAGAGATGTCTCACTGTTTGTTATTCTCTGTAGGAGCACAGGAGCCACTTTGCCTGTGCCCGAGGAGTGGTGTTGAGAAAGATCCTTTTGTAGTCCAGTTGTCTTGAGTCTGTGCTGCTGGTTTGCAGGGCACTAGCTGACATGAATAACGACGGAAGAATGGATCAAGTGGAGTTTTCCATAGCTATGAAGCTTATCAAACTGAAGCTCCAAGGATATCAGCTGCCCTCTGCACTTCCCCCTGTCATGAAGCAGCAGCCAGTTGCTATTTCTAGTGCACCAGCATTTGGTAAGTCTGAAAATTAGTTGATTCCTATATCTTATTGTATGTCTTAAAAATAGAAATTTTCCCTTTTCTCCCCTCAGAAATAATAAAATTCTTGCGTAATTTTATCTTAAAAAAAAAAAAAAGACAGCTTTCAGAAAAGTAATGCTGTCCACGTCGACCCCGAGGGTAAAGGTCATTACTATGAGAGAGGTTCGGTCTCTCTGGGTTTAAGGAACGGGCTCTGCTGCTGCAGCTCTGTCTCTTGCTTTTCACATTCATTTGGATTTTCAGAGTCTTTGTTTCTCCTTGTACACATAGTTGCCTTGGATTGTGATATCTTTCTTTTTTCTTTTTAATTTTTTAAAAATTCTTTTGAGATCACATTTCCCCCTTCTCTTTCCTTCCACCCTCTGATACACTTCTCCTTGCTCTCTTTCAGATTCACTGCCTCTTTTTCTCATTAACTGTTACCTGTGTGTGCGAGTGTGTATGTGTGTGTTTGTGTTTCTAAATATGTAAATATAACCTGCTCAGTCTGTGTAATGTTACTTGTATGTATGTTTTCAGAACTACTCACTGGGTAACCAATTGGTCTACTCTTCCCTAGGGAAGATTGTTTCTTCTCTGCATTTCTTAGCTGCCTGTAGTTCTTTATGTAGGGCTGAGGCCTCCTGCCCGCACCCCGCCTTCCACTTTAGTGTGTTTATTGTTAGTGTCCTTGTTCAGCTCGCGTTCAGACTGTCGGGTTGGTGAGACTTCATGAGTACAGTTACTGATATTTCCAGTGGACACTTTTATGGCAATATCCCTGATCCTCTGACCCTTAGAATCTTTCCTCTCACTCTTTTGAAATGATCCCTGAGCCTTAGGTGCTGGCGCTGTATTAGATGGATCTCTTGTGACCACAGCTCTGCCTTTTGATTGGTTGTTGTTTTCTGTAACGGTCTCCCTCTGTTAAGAGAGTTTCCTTGATGAGGGTGAAGACTGCACTCAACTGAGGGTAAAGGAGAAATATTTAGAGTAGGAGAAATATTTAGAATGTAGTTAGGGATTATGCTGAGTTGGTGACTGTTGTAGGTCCTTTTCAAGACCTATGACTTCACTAGACTTGGGTAGTCGGCTACGTTTCCATTACCAGTCAGGATTTCTGTTTTGTTGAGTGGGTTTTAGATCCAATTACGGAGTTGTTGGTTACCACCAATGTATGTGGGCCACTAATGCACCCTTAGTGATTGTGCCAGCAGTCATCATTATTGTAATTTGTGGGTCATAGTCAGGCATGACTGTTGGTGCTTCCCTCCTTTGGAAACTTGCATAGTGCCTTCTGGAACCTAAAGTTTCACAAACCTCTCAACATAGCACCAATCAGCATTCAAAACAGCCTATGAGGGACATTACAAATTCAAATCATAATACTGTATATTGTCTTTCTTTTGGGGACCTTTGGCTACAAAGCTGGTTTTTCTAAGAGGAAGGTGTGAGTTTGGGGAGAGCTTCAGGTTAGCAGGACAAGGGTCTATGAGAAGAAACAACCAAGCTATGCATGAGCAAAGGCGAGGAGGAGTGCAAGTGAGTAGCGTAGTGACGTCCCAGACAGACCCACTAATTTGTGTCTGCAGTACTCAGCCTGCAGTTAGCTGGCCCATGCAAGTGGGCTTTGCAGTGAGTCCTTGAGGGTGCTTGCTGCTAAGTTTTGTTCAGGACTTGTGTGTTAAAATAGCTAAGGCATGTTTGCTTTTCTTTTGGACTCTCTGCAATGTCAAGAAAGGATATGTTGAACAATGATGCCCCATTTCTTTTTCCCCTAAACTATGTGCAGTTCTTTCTCTGTTACTTAATTTGTTTTCCCTTTCTCTGCTCCGTGATTTTCGGCTTTGTCAACGCTGCTATTCTGTTTGAGGCACTTCTGGGCCCACTGCTTAGTGTCACATTTATTTAGTGGCTTGCACCGCTACTGAGGGAAGCTTGCACTGCCGGTCTCAGCCTGGGTCTTCTCACCTGCTTCTCGTCACAGAAACATTTTCCCTAAATGATTCCAGGAAAATAAATGAACCATGAGGGTGTAAGAGAGGTTGCAAGAACAGAGGTCCCTCAAGTTTACGCAGTCAGTCTTTACTGGTATTTCTAGTTCCACTCCTAGCTCAGTGGGAAGAATGATTTAGATTTGGATGGTGACTCGCCTGCTCATATTAGCCTTGTGTGCTTTGTTTTGTAGAGGTTGTCACTGAGTCTTCAAGTGGTCAGTGGGTTGGGAATGCAGCCCAGTGTTAGGGAGGTCCAGTGTCTGAGTGGAAGTGTAGTACGGGCATGCAGGATCAAAGCTTGGTGTGGTGCAGCATTGAGAGCTATGCCAAAGGGAAGGCTCTGCAAATGGAGGCTGAGGAGCATGGCGGGAAGTGCTCACCGTAGCCAGGGAAGTCTTTCCAGGAAAACTGAGTGAGGGACCTGAGATGAGGCAGGAGGGGAGGAAAGTGGTGATGGAGCTTGATGTGTGGGCTGCTCAGTGACCTTTACCCTGTGATGTGTTTGGAACCAGGGCCTGCATGGGGACCAGAAGGGAGCTTGACTCTGAGGAGATGGCGGCCAGCTGCCTGGGATGCTCCAACACTGTAGAGAGAATTCTAGCGTTGCAGGAGAATTCCAAGAATTAGGAGTAAGCAGCACCATAGGAAGTGCTGGCTTTTAGACTCAGACTCCAATAAATATATTTACGTAGAAAATTGTTCCTTAGCCAACAATTCAGCACTTGGAAGGCAGAGGCAGGAGGACTGCTGTGAGGTCAAGGCCAGCCTGGCCTATATGGTGAGTTCCGGGCCATTGAGAGATGCACAGAGACCGACCCATCTCAACAGACAACAAAACACTTGATGAGAGGAGGGTGGTCTTGCTTTGCATTGCTGGCTTGTTGGGCTCAGGATCAGGCTTGGGTCTTGCCACCCTAGGCAGGTGTTCTGTCTCAGCTCTACATTGGGGCTAAAGTAATGAATGAGCTGGAAATGGTGGCACAGGCTTATAATACCCGCTTCCAGGTGCTAAGATAAGATTGCAAATGTAAGGCCAGCCTGGGAAAACTCTGATGTAAGAAGAGTTTAACGTCTGGACACTTGGAAGATGCTTTTCCAGTTGGTGATTTTTTTTAACTGTTAACTAGTTTTGTGCAATCTTTTTAGTAACAAGTTTGACATATTATTTAATATAGGATTTTCTTTCTCAGCATCACTTTTAAGGTTACTTTCCTTTCTTTAAGATGAAGAATTTGTAGTTCTAGAGACAAACTTGAAAGACTTAGACTATGTTAGAACGGTTAGTGTAATTTATGTAGCCATCAAGCACGAGGCAGCAGCAGCAGCAGCATGATGCATGTTGATATATGTTGACATAAAATACCTGCTTCAGGTGAGACGTGTGGTCAAGTGTTGGTGGCAGGCATGGCCTATAAACCAATCCTTTAGATGTCTGTGAATAATAAAGTTGTGCCCAAGTTGGAAATTCCTTCGCTTTGTTATACTTTCAATACCTATAAACATTGTTAGCATTGCTTTTCCAGATGAAGGGTTGCGCTTGGTGTGTATCTCAGTAATAAAACATATGGTTGGCTTGCTTCAGGAGCTGGATTCTTATCACCCCCCCCCCCCCCATATAGGGGGTTGAGAGGAGTTTTTCTCATGTTTAGGATCTTAGTTGTCCAGGCTCATCTGGAACATACTGTGTCATCAGTACTGGCGTCCAGTTCCTTGAACCTGCTCCATCTTCTTGCCGGCTGAGAGCCCCATTTAAAAGGTACAGACGTCCTATTCACTATTAGAAAAGGGCAAGCTACAAGGGCAAGCAAGCTCCTGCTGCAGCAAGTGACCCTGCCTCAGGAAAGTGGATAATGATTCTCGAGGACACTCAAAGTCGACTTTTTGCCTGTACACATGTGCAAACACACACATGTACTCACACTTGCCACACAGCATACAACAAAAGCTGAAGAAAGGAATACACGCAGAATAGAACCTCATAAGTCTGTCACAGTATAAGAGGCAGGGGGAAGAAAATCGCCTGTCTGCTGTAGTTGAGAAAGAGAAGCAAGAAAGTAGTTGCTAGGCATTCATACAAACTAGATGCAGCCAGTCAGAGCTGTGTCTGAACTCCCTGAGTACCCCACACGGGGGTCTGCAGAAGGCCTGAAAGATCTGGGGCAGTCCGGTTTCCACACCCCTACTCAGACTGGCTCATCCTGTGTTGGGGTCCTGGGTTTAATCTCTGGTACCACAAACAAAACAAAACAAAAAAAACAGAACAGGCAACCCAAATCCCAGCTCACCTCGACCCTTTCTGGAGCAGGCCCATCCCAAGGTCAGGCAAATGAGGAAAATAAGAGACAAGGGAGGGAAATGCAGAAGAAAGTGGTGGGGGTGGGGCAGAGACCGGAAATTTCAAAAAGGGGAATCAATACAAATAAGCGACAGAAAGGTTTGAGCCTGGTCATCCTACACCAAGTTATTATTAGAAAAACATGGCACAGCTGAGGTTACTCCGCCCTGCTGATGGTGATACCACAGGATGCTGTGGACTGATACAGGACTTCAGACACCAACCTAAATGGATTTGAACATCCCAGAAGTGAGGTGGCGGGATTCCGCAAAGAATGAACAATAAACCTTTATTCTAGAAACAAAGGCGAAGCTGCAGGCAACTTCAGACATACTATTCTTTTTTATTTTTTTTTTTATTTAACTTTATGTGCATTGGTGTGAAGGTGTCAGATCTCATGGAACTGCATTTTTAGACAGTTGTGAGCTGCCATGTGGGTGCTGGGAATTGAACCCGGGTCCTCTGGAAGAGTAGTCAGTGCTCTTAACCACAGAGCCATCTCTCCAGCCCCCAGAGATACTATTCTAAAGAGAATAAAAACCTTTTTTAAAATTAGAAGAAAATGAACCAGTAGATATGAAAAAGAATTGACAGCTACTGACATTTTTAAAAAGTTGGGTAGGAATTCATGAAGAATCTCCCACCAGGGAAGAAAGCAAACTGTAAAATGAATTCAGGACCATTATCTTGAAATAGATTTGAAAGGGTATGTCTGATAGTACTAACCTGAAAGGACTAACCCTAAGGTAAATTCTACTATTTTGAACATGCAGAAAAGGAAACCACGTGGTTTGTAAGGGAAAATAGATTAGTTTCAGACATTGACAGCAGTGCATTGTTGCAAAAGAAAACTGAGTGACATATTCAGGATTCTCGGGGAAAGAATGAACCAAAGATTTTTAGTGTCCTGAAAAAGGGATTTTCAATGGAGCAGAGACAAAGCTTGGCCCGCCTGTAAGGTCTCTGGGAGTATGCAGTCTTTAGTCTGTTCTTATCTGCTCATCTACCTCCCTGCCTTTGTCTTTCCTCTCTCCTTGGGAAAGGTCCCAGCAACCATGGCATCCCCAGATCACAGACATAACATTTCTTGCTATAGGAAACCAGAATTTCTTGGGAAGAAGGAAATACCTGATTCTAGACCTGAAGTATGAACTATCCATGATGAACTTAGAAGGTGTGTTCTTTGATAATGGTCAGTTAGGAAACTGTTAGAGAACAGTGGAGCAGCGACAGAGCCAACCTGGAGAGACTGCATTGCCTGGAGGAGGGCCTTTGAGCTTCAGTACCGAGCTTACTAATAGAGACACTTAGTTATTGTATTTTTAAAGCAGTGTCTCATGTGCTCAGGCTGGACTTGAACCCCTAATCTTCCTGCCTCTGCCAAGTTCTAGGATTATAGGCATGAGCCACCATTCTTGGCTGTACTGTCTTCACTTAGGAAAGTCATGGAGCTGTCTCAAAGTGAAGACAGGTAGATCAGAGCACGTGTTTAGTTCCAATAGTCTTCTTTTATTGGTCAGGACATCCTTATAAGGAGGTACTTCTCATTAACTGGTTACTTTTAGGTGTAGAGTATATATTGGAGATGCAGGTAAAATGGCTAATTTTTTATTCCCCTTTATTTTTGGTACCTTTATTTTGTTCTTTCTAAATTTTTTGGCAAATTTTATTATTTTTAAGAACTTGCAAATAAATAAAAAACATCACACGAAAGTGAATCGGACCACAGGTCTATACAGTATTTGTTGCCTTTAAATCTACTGCCATTACTGTTTGTTGTTGTTTTAAAACCAATCTTCTGTAGTCCAGGCTAGCCTCAAACTCTGCGTAGCTGAGGGTGACCTTGAATTCACAACTCTCCTGTATCAGAGGTTCCAGGTCTCTGGCGTTCTGGGAGTACAAGACTGTGCCTCCACACATGGTTAATGGGGTGCTGGGGTGGAGCCCAGACCTCCTGTGTGCTAGAAAACTGCTCTACCAACTGAGCTACACCTCTGACCCTAATGCTTTTCTTATCCATCCTCATCCTGATAAATCGTCTACAAGCTGAGCAGATTGTCTTTTTGGTGTTGTTCCCCAAAAGAAATTGTGGGTCATAGAGGAACTGTCGAGACTGGGCCACGCGAGCAAGAGAATCCAAGGGCCCTGTGGTTCTTGACATAAATGTTTGTATTCTCCAGCAGTTTAACCTGGGGGTGTGTGTGTTAGCCAAGCAAGCACTGAACCGTTCGCTGTCCTCTCAGCCCTGGATCTGTCTGTGGCCAGGTTTCCTTCCCCGGTAGTGCTAGGCTAAATGTTGCTGAGCGTTCGCACGTGACTGACTGAGTTTCGCGTGAACATTTTTCTTCTAGGTATAGGAGGAATTGGTAGCATGCCACCACTTACAGCCGTTGCTCCAGTGCCAATGGGCTCCATCCCCGTTGTTGGAATGTCTCCACCCTTAGTATCTTCTGTTCCTCCAGCAGCAGTGCCTCCCCTGGCCAACGGGACGCCTCCCGTCATCCAGCCTCTGCCTGCATTTGCTCATCCCGGTACGTGCCTCCAGTAGACCTGTTGCCACCACTTACAGTTTGCTGTTCTCTCTTGTTAGATAGCTTGTTACTCTCTAGTTATATCTAAGTGATATTTCGTTACAGAGAAAGGGACTATAATTCTTCTATATGATTCTCATTCCTCACATGCTAAGAGTAGAAGAAGGGAAAGTCATTGCAGAACTTGGGTACTTCTGTAGACAAAGAGGAGCCCAACAGTGAAAGCCAAGCGCATAATTTCCTTTCATCGAGCATAGAGTCTGAGCAGTGACTGAACATTTTGTGTTTTCAAGTATCGGTTACTTCTGTTCTTTAACTGCTGTGAGCAGTTAATACATAAGCCCATCCTTTGACTAGAATTCCATGGTGAGAAAAAGTGAGCATTGTGGGTTTTGAACAAGCAGAATGGACAGGGCAGAATGGGGAAGAAAGTCAATTAAATGGCCAAGTATATTAAGCTCACAGTATTAAACACTTTCTTAGCTGAAGGAAAGGATGTAGTTATTTTTGTTCTTGGTTTATTTTCATTTTGAGACTTTATTCAAAGTCTTTTCCTAAAATTAAAAGAAAGTATGAAGTGTAGCCTTGGCCTAACAAATCATAATGAATTTATAGCAATTTGGGAATCTTTTAAAAAGATCTGAGGAAATCCAGTAGTGTAAGTGGCATACGTTTTGACTTTATATTTGTGTCGCTGTTGCTGCATCTGAGGTGACCTGCACTCACCAAGATGAGAGCGGCATCTGCCGAGCCTCTGTCAGCTCAGTCCTGTGCAGCCTTCACCTGGTGGCTGCTGCAGTGATAGCTGCTAGCGTTCTTCATGCACCTGCTGCGGTGGGATTGTGAATCCGCATGCTCTGTCTTGTTTGCCTTTGTGCTCTGGCAAGTGTTTCAAGACACTAGACAAGACTGAGGGGTGGAGGTCTCATCAGAGCAAATGAGAATCACACACAAATCTGCCCCTCCCACAGTTCTCTGGGCAAGACTGGGTAGCCTGGGACTTCTTGCCTGCTACATCTGGAACTAATAATTTAACTCCCTTGATGGTAAGGAAGTGCCATCTTATGCATATACTTAAGCTGTTACTTCATTGACTTGGAACAGTACCTACAAGATGTGATACTAAATGTTCAATAGAGAGCAGAGTTTTATGGATGTCAGCATTACAGCTCAGTCTGGGGTTCTCTCGGACAAGTGCATCTAGGCATAAGACAGAGTAAAGGGCTGTGGCTCTACGCTGGAGAAAGAGGAAGATTGTCATTGCTTTAGATGTTTTAAATAAGAAAAATTTCTTATTTTATATACTTAAAATATTCAATATTTTATTACATATTTTATTTATAATATTTACAGCAGCCACATTGCCAAAGAGTTCTTCCTTCAGCAGATCTGGTCCAGGGTCTCAGTTAAACACTAAGTTACAGAAGGCACAATCATTCGATGTAGCCAGGTAAGAGTGCTTGTTTTTAATGGAAAAGTTAGTTAAGGCACTATTTAATTCCCTTTAAGTGAATTGTGTTCATCTTATTTTTTTTTTAATATTTACTTTATGGGTTTGATGTTTTACCTGCATGTATGTACATGTATGTATGTATGTATGTGCACCACATGCCTGGTGCCCACAGAGGTTAGCAGAGAGTATTGGATCCTCTGGAACTGAAGTTACATAGGGCTGTGAACCATCATGGGTACTGGAAATCGAATCCTCATCCTCTACCAGAGTAGCAAGTGCTTTAAACCACTGAGTATCTCTACCTTGTTTAATTAGAATGCTAATAATGTCTTTTAAAATTTTGCATAATGCTATTAGACTTTATAATTTGTTTACTGCTGAGATGAAAAATCAAGAACATGCCATTTTCCTAATTTTTTTTTTCAACAAAAATGCAGTAGTACAGGTGGGATGTGCTGCTCTGTGGTAGAGAGAGCTTACCTAGCACATCCAAGGAACAGTGTTCACTGTCAGCACCAGAAAAGAAATAGAACTGGATGGACTAAAGCAGACTCTGGGGAGCTAGAAGAGCCAATTAATGATTTTGTATTAATCATTTAAAAGTTTATTAATTTTTTATGAAATTTGAACTAAAGTTGAGCTTGCTTTTAATACTGTCATAATCTGTCTGGCTTAGTAGTAGATCAATAGTAAATACCAATTTTAATAAAATGATTAATTCAGACTAGTGTTCATGATAATTATATATGTGACTGAGTTTTGAGAGACTCTGTACAATCTCATTGCTTATATGTGGCCAACCATAGTTTCATATTATCTTGTGTATGTTTCTTTTACCATCTCATTTTTCTTATAGCGGAGATTTAACCTCATATTCATATTAAATTTCCTCCCTAGCTCAGACTGACGTTTGTGTTTTTAACTTTTCTTACATGGTTTTAAATTCTGCCTTAAAATTGCTTTATAACATTCGGATGCCTCTTACTGATGGTCAGCAAATATGAGTGCTTTTTGATGGTTGGTTTTCAATGATGTGAAGTTGTAACTTTTTGTGATGGAGCTACCTTTTAGGTAACATGCTTCTTAAATTGTTAGTTTGCTTAAACTCTCAGGAATGTAGTAGAAAGCTGATAAGTGTAATCTGGGCGAGCATCTGTGTGCAGCACCCTTTATCTTTGCAGTGCAGGAGCAGGATAGTTACCTTTAATAAATAGGCAGGAGCTGGAATCAGCAAACTCTTAGACAGAATGAGAGACGTGCTGCAGAAGTACTCACAGCATAACCCCCGGTGGTAAGTGTTTCCATTAAGAGATTTGAGGAATTCAAGAAGGCGGATTTGTCACTTCTCAAGGGTTGGTAGTTGACTCTTAAGACCTTTGCTAGTACGTTAGTCTGTGAACAACACACTTGTTAGTAAATAATAGCTAAAGCTTCAGTGTGTGGTTAAAATCTTAGTTTGGTGTGTGTGGCGTGAATCTCTGTAAGAAGGGAAGGAGATTGCATGTGGAGCCTGACTTGTCACCTGCCCTGCGCACGCAATGCCACCCTCTCTGTCTCCATTGCAGTTCAGTGACCCCACTCAGACCCTGGGTCTTACAGACTGTGTGTCAGTGTGGTGTTGGGTGGGCCGCGCATCTGCAGAAGAAACTGCCAGGAGCATCTTACCCAGACGCACTGTTAGCAGGGCTTCTCAGGCCAGCATGCTAGCTTGCTGGCGAGGAGACACCAGTGTTGGGTTACAGTCAAGAGAGTGGAGCTTTGCCCGTGACTGCTCCACTGATTTGCCAGGACCCTGGACATCCTGTTTCCTCTTTGGGAGGTTTCCCATTTGCTAGGAATTTAAACCTCCCAGCAAGAAATAGTTTCCTTCATTAAGAAGTGGGCCTAGGGACTGTAAGATGGCTCAGTGGGTAAGAATGCTTGCCTCCAAAACTGAGGATCTGGGTTCAACTCCTGCATGCGCCATGGCATGTGTGCACTCTCTCTCTCACATACACACACGTGTATGCACACCTCAAATAAATAAATGTAAAAACAAAAAAGAAATGAGTCCATGTTTGTTGTAGAAAGATAGGTATTTTGTAGTGTACTTTTTAAAAGGCAGTTGCCAGCATTGCTTCTTAACTAAAGAAAGAATTCCTGAATCCTTTGGAAAATCTGGACAGTATATAATATCTCAGTTTCTGGCATATTTTCATATATTACAGGAATGTTTAGATTATTAAAATGTATGTAGAATGTGAAATAGTCACTTGATCTGTTTTTCTTCATATTTAAAAAAGCCAGTTAGTGTAGTTAGTTCTTTAAAGATTTCTTTCTAAGTGTGTGTGTATGTCATGTGTGTCAGAAGCCAGAATGGGGTGTTGGAGCCCCTGAGCTGGGTCATAAGCATTGTGAGCTCCATGACATGGATTCTGGGAACTGAACCTGGGACCTCTGGAAGCAGGCACTCTTACTGCTGAGCCATCGCTCCAGCCCCAACTCCCCTCTTTTGAGAGATATCCGTAACTTTTGTGTAGATGCTGAGTATGGCTGGGGCCTTTGCCGCTACAGGGTCCGGGTTGACCCCAGCAACACTGGGAGGGAGCACCGCTAACCTGCGGTGCTTAGACAAGTGCTTGAGCCTCAGCAAGCCACTCCTCACGCTGTGTCACTCCTTCCTCTTCCCGCAGTGCCCCTCCAGCAGCAGAATGGGCCGTGCCTCAGTCCTCGAGACTGAAATACAGGCAGTTATTCAACAGCCACGACAAAACGATGAGTGGACACTTAACAGGTATTTACAGACCTGCATTCATTGTCAAATGCAATCATTGCTTTAATATGGAAGTCCTTTCCAGATGTCTCCTCTCTTTCCTTAGTTCTAAGTAGGGTTTCCATTGTCTTTGTTACCTGTGTTTTCAACTACCGATAACTCTGTCCATGCTTACCCTGTCCTCCTCCGCCTCTGGTCTTCACCCTCTGGCCTGGTGGGATAAGTGGGACACGAGTGAAGATTCCGTGCTGTGAGCAAAGCTGCCCTAGCTGCCTGTTCCGGTCAGGCAGAGGCTGGGCGCAGGCAGAGCTATGGGATGAAGGACTCTGTGCTGTCATGGTCCGCTTGTTCTCATGGAAGGGGACGGATTAATTTCTAGGATCTCAGTGGGTTTTCTAAAGCGTATTGATTCTGCCATCCAGGTCAAAAGTGTAGAGAAGCATTTCAGATACCATCCCAAGCCTTTATTGTGATGTTTTAAGAACTAACAGCCACCAATTGAGATGTTACAGAGAAAGCACAGTCTTTAGAAGGCGAGTGTGAAAGAGACGAGCGTGAGTTGACTGGGCAAACCCTTACCCAGAACTCAAGCAGCTTGTAAGCACGTGAGGCGTACCTGCCCCTCTGGCATTTTATTAAGACATGACTGTGGTGGGCTTTGGCTCGAGGGCAATCAGAAAGGTGTTGTTCAGCTCTTGGTATGAGTGAGAAATTGCTGTCCTTATCATACACAGCTTCTTTACACAGACGCAAACTAGTGTTGGGGGTGCAGCTCATTCTGTGTGAGTTCTCAACTTGATCATAACACAGAACACTTTAAAGTTCTGGTTCTTCACACGTTGCTTTGCTATTGCTTATGGTTATACCGTTACTTCCAGATGAGGAGTTGGGCTCTGTGTAAAGAGATGACTGGAGAAGGCCTTCATTCAGCTCTGTTCTTGAACCCTGTCTCCGTGGTAGACCTCAACAGTCACCTCATTCACTTCAAGGGGCAAAAAGTAAATGCTTGTCATTTCTCCACGTACCACACTTTTCCCAAAGTAACAGCTCTTAATATTTTTAGGTAGTATTTTAAAAGACCACACTTGCTGGGCAGTGATGGCACACAACTTTAATCCCAGCACTCAAGAGATAGAAGCAAGAGAATTTCTGTGATATGTTTGCTTCATAAAACAATGCAAAGCAAAAACAAACAAAACAGACAAAAGACCCACACTACCCTGTGCAGACACTGAGGAAATACTCTATAGTATCATTTTGAGTAGGTATGTTTGACACAGCACTCCATAGACACTCAGAATTTCTTTAGAACATTGTTGGCATTTGTTGTAAGCTAATTAATAGTGTTTCATTGTGAATTGGTTAGAAATTCTTTCATGTTGGAAAAATTTTTTATGAATGATAAATGTAGAACTTATATCTTGATGAAATGACTTAGACACTTGAATTTAGAACCTTTAATATATGGGGCAAAAAGTAAGATTTGGAGTATTCTAGTTTGCTCAGCAAGCATTTAAGGTGTAAATTTTATCTATGAGCCAGACCGTTGTGCAGTCATTACAAAATAAGAAATGAAAAGTAATGCAGTATGTTTTAAAATGGCAGTAGATGACGTTCACTGTGTGTATTTCTGAGGCCCTATAGAGTGTTTCTAGCTTAGATGATGTTCCCTGTGTGTATTTCTGAGGCTCTATAGGGTGTTTCTAGCTTAGATGATGTTCCCTGTGTGTATTTCTGAGGCTCTATAGGGTGTTTCTAGGTTAAATTAGACAATCAGTGGAAGTGGAGCTGGTGACGAGCTGGATGAACCAGGAAAGTCGTCCTCTTTTGTTGTTACTGGTTTTGTTTTTTAGAGGCAGGGTTTCTCTGTGTGTGCTCCTGTCTGTCTTGAACTTTCTCTGTAGACCAGGCTAGCCTTGAGAAAGTCAGCCTCTTGATGAGAACTGTGGAACTAGTTCTAAGCACTTGGAATCCCCAAAGCAGCTGTCCAGCAGAAACAAAAAGGTACATCAAGAGAGCCCCGCACAGAGGCCCAGGAAAGCAGTCGTTTCATATTCTGCTCACGACTCCAACTTCTTAGCTAGTTGAGTAGTTGTCAGCCTGACAGTTGTGATGGCCTTGTTTTATACATACCAGTTAAAACACAAAGGTTGTAGGTGATGTGCTTTTCTATGACATAGAGAACCTAGGTCATGCTTGTGCTGTGGGATATTTGTATGATGTGTGAAGATGCATCACTATGATTGTTTTAATAAGGAGCTGAATGGCCAATAGCTAGGCAGGAAGAGGTTAGGCGGGACTTCCAGGGACAGAGAAGAATCTGGGAAAAAGAAAGGCAGAGATACCAGGAGATATGGAGAGGAAACAGAAGGTGCAAGATGGAAGAGAGGTAATGCCACATGGCAGAATGTAGATTAGTACAAATGGGTTAACTTATCAGAACTAGTTAGGAACAGGCCAAGGCTATAGGCCAAGCTTTCATAATTAATGATAAGTCTCCATGTCATTATTTGGGAGCTGGCTGGTGGGACAGAAAAAGACTCACTACAAACGATGCCTGTACCATCATTTTCACTCCCTGTGTGTCATCACTTTGACCCTCCCCGGGGTTGTACATAGCCTACAGCCTAACTGACCCATGCCAGCCTGCAGCAGATGTCCATGGTAGTCGATTCCTAGTCCCACTCTGCTTTAGTTTCATGGCAAGCCTTTCAGGTATAAACTTCATCTTCAAGCAAGACCCTTGTGCAGTCATTAAAGATGTCATCAAATTCTGGTTTTCTAAATCTTGTTTCAAATTCTAAAGTGTGTCCTCAAGTTCTGGCTACATAAAGAGTGTGCTGGGACGCTAGCTAGTCCATCTAGAATGGCCCTTACTTACCCGTGAGTATCCTGGTGATGCAGCTGGCTAACACATGCCCCTTTCTTCTCACGTGATTGATATATATGTTATACCTTGCTTTTCAAAGAGAGAGGAACTGCACTTCTTTGTAGAGCTGAGGCCTTGGAGGTAGAGGCAGGTGGGTCTCTGTGAGTAAGGCCAGCCTGGACTACAGAACGAGTTCCAAAACAGCCAGGGTTACACAGAGAGACTCTGTCTTGAACACCTTCCCCCAGTAAGTAAAAAGAAAATAAATTCTAAGAAAATGTATGCATTGTATGTGTTTACATGTGTGCATTAATGGATCCTTTTCTGCCAATATGTTATATATGTAAATAAAAGCTAAAACATTAGCAGTAATAGAAATAGTAACTGTCACCTGCTGGGTACATCACATGGGTGCTAAGCTCATTGTTAGGGCTCTTTCCAATGGGTCATGGATGTGCTCATGGGTCCCTGGAAATGAGCAAGTCCCTGAGTGAGGAGCTGCTTCCCCTCAGCAGAGGATATACCAAGCCAGTAACAGAGCCTGCAGCCTCTTCCTGTTTGTACTTTTCCCTTCATTTTGGGAAGTCGTTGTGCTAGAGCTCATGGTCTCTGCGTCTGGCTGTGCAAGAACACACCGCTTCTGTGTTTCACAGTAAGGAGACTTTTGGAAAGTAAATAATGGAATCTGAAGTTTATGCATGGGTAAGGAATCCTCGCAGTTTCTTGGTCCATGGGTATTCCTGGGACTACACCGTTGAGACCTTGCTGAAGCTATGACATATTTGCCTCCCCTGACACTGCTTGAAATCTGCAGCTGCAGTTTCTATCTCATCGCTGAAGCTATTTGTGCCAGAAATGAAGATATTTAACATTATATTAATAACAGAAAACTGATTTTGAAAGAAACATTGAAATTCTAGTAACTTTTGTGTGACCTTTAATCACATCCTTAGCGTGTATGTGGTAAGGTGTATGTAGTGATGGCATTAGAAGGGCTTTGTGTGTTAAGGTCCCATCTTCCTCTGAGTCTCTTCCCTTAATTTGTGTGATGATGATCATGGTGAAACCAGCAAGTGGTAGCTGTGGGAAAAGATGGTCAGTTGATAGCTATTAGGTCTCCATTTATAAATAAAATCCCAATGCAAAAAGAAGGATGATCTGGCTAAGAGGGCAGGCTAAATTTGAAGCTCCAGTCTTTTATGTCCTCACTCCTCACTGGTCATCCTGTGTTTTTCTGTTTCTCCCCTTTTGCTGGAGCTTAATTCCTCCTACAAGTTCATGGATAGGAGCACATACTGGGTGCAGTGCTGTGATTGCACGAGACTGCATAGAACCTGTGTGCAGCCTCTGGCCTCTGTGTGCAGGGAATGTTTGATGATTCATCCTTATGTCTTTTCTCTGGTTTCTGGTTAGGTCCCCAGGCAAGAACTATTCTTATGCAATCAAGTTTACCCCAGGCTCAGCTGGCTTCAATATGGTAAGGAAGTACAAGTTCCTTGGTTTGTATAAAGTAGAGACTTTCTTAGGGTGGTTTTTTTCCTTGGGATTCTGGTTCACATCCTTATTTAGAGAGGATGGAGTATGTGTAGCTTTTAACAAGCTGTGAAAACCACTGTTCTTACTACAAGGACAGGGGTATTAGCACAGTGAACGCTAAGAACTCAAGGCAGCCTAACAACTCCTAACCCAAGGCCAGGTTCCTTTTCCCCCATGACTTTAAGCCAAGTCTCTCATTTTCTTGCCTTGAATATTTAAATTTATTTCTTTAACTTTAACCATAATGCCAATAGTTTGCCTAACCAAGTGTTCATTTACATCAAATTAATGAGCTAATCCTCAAATGCCTTCCATCAGCTAATGCTCTGTATAGTTTTATTTATGCCACGGAGTGAAACAAACCTATGTAATATTTCATTGATCAATTTAGATTATTTCTTTTAAAGGTTATTTTACTTTATGTATTTGTGTGTTTTGCCTATACATATGTCTCTATACCATGTGCATGCCTGGTGCCCTTGGAGGGCAGGGTTGGGAGCCCCCTCTGCGGTGCTCTGGGGCCTCTGCAAGAGCTGCAAGTTTTCTTAACCACTGAGCCATCTCTCCAGCTCACTACCCTTTCTTGTTCTCTGTTTGCTCCCCAAGTCTCCCCAAAACAAATGAGGTAGTTTATTGACTAGTTCCCTAGTGGCTCGACTTTGCTGTGCTCCTCTGGTGGTGTTTAATTTGTTTCTGTATTTCCTGTGGAGTGATAATTACGTCTAGAACAAGGCTTTGCAGTTTTAGCACTGTGGCTTTGGGGGGCAGCATCTCTTCAGTTGGGGCTTCCCTGTGCATTGTAACATCTCTGGCCTCGGTTCTGACAACCCAGATGTCTCCAGATGTTAGCATGTGCCTGTTGAGAGACCACTCACCCCTGGGTATAAACCTTACCTGGTTCTACTTTGATTTTTGCTCTTTGGGGTAAAACTCCATTAGAGATGTTACTGTATCCTTTGTTTGAGAGCTACAACATGTTCCTATTAGTGCATAATGACTTTTAATAGCTCTTGATGAGTGTTGCCCAGCTGTTCTTTTTTCTTTCCTTTCCTTCCATCCTTTCCCCCCTCCCTCCTTCCCTCTAGCTCCCCACCCACCCCAGCTTGCCTCTTTGAGTTGTGTGTTGATAGCTACCTGGAGACTAGACCTGGTGTCCACTTCTTATGTGGCTGCTCGACAAGGGGGGAAGCTCGAGTGCGCTAATGCTCCCCTCTCCTCCTCCCTGTGCTGTTGAGTAGAGTCTGCCTTTTACTCAGAATAGACCAACTAGGAAGTAGTTTCTACCTACGGCATGTTCAGCCTTGAAGTCTGTGTATAACTGGTCCCCAGGACCCTCTGAAACCTATCTAAGATGTACCGTCTGTGGAGGTTGATTGACGCTTCTTTGGCTGCTCTCCTACCCATCATGCTTTTCATTGATGACTTACACCCTAGGACGTTGGAGGCCTCTCTTAGAATGCTGAATTTTCCTTCTTTGCACTAAAAAGATGCTTTCATTTTTGTGGCCCTATTTAGCCAGTTTATGAGGGGGAGATGAGTTTTAACACCTTTTAGTTCGATTTACTCTGGAGTAGCTGAGAGTGCAGCTTATAAAGGAGGTGACGGGTGGGTTTCTGGCTTTCTGCTCCATTTAAAGGATGTACATCATCCAAAGAGGGAGAATTAGGACAGGGGCAGACCCATGGGCCAGGCAGGGAGAAGAGGTGAGCTACAGGAAATGTGGTCCGGGCTTCTCACACCAGTGTGGCTGCTCTGTCACTTACTGCTGTGTCAGAGATGTACATGATTGCCCTCTGCAGGGGGACACTGATACCTTGTGGAGCTTAGACCTCAGCGTTAGTAGCCGGCAAACGTAACATTTCAGGAAGACGTTGTCATTAGCGAAGGCAGACTCAGCGGCATTTGTGCTGTTGACCCCGTGAACAGATGTGTGCTCTCACATCTCCTTCTGTTGTCTGGGAGAATCCGCTCTTTTCTGGGCTTAGCTGTTTGAGCCAGTTCATCACAAGCCTGATGGTGATTGGAGTGCTAGGATGAGGAGGGAGAAGTGCCCCAATTCTAGAGGGGATCAATCCATAAATGAGTGAATGGCCAGTGGCTGGAATGTGACCTGCACCCATTCTTGTAGGTGGTTTTATTGTAAATGTGGACATGCCCATTCGTTTACATATTGTCAACGGGTTCTCATCACCAGTAAACAGGACTTGGGTAGCTTACAAACCTTAAAATGATTTGCTGTGTTATCCTTTATCAGTCCTTTGTCTAGCACATAGCATTTTAACATTACAAGAACTTGAGAATAATATATTTTAAATGCCTTCACGGACTGAGAGGATTATTATAGTCGGAGTTATCATTTGTTGGGTGCTGAAGACAGTTCCAGCTGTATAGACTCTTTGTCCTTCCAGTAGTCTGACGTAGCACTTGTTCTACAAGCCGGCTCACGGGAGGCTCTGTTGGTGTAGGATCAGAGTCAGGAAGTAGGATTTGCAGATCACTGGTGAACCGTAAGAAGCATGCATTTTCCTGAACTGGATTGCGTGAATTTTTTGAATTAGGAATCTTTCTGACATTGATCAAGACGGAAAACTCACAGCAGAAGAATTTATCCTGGCTATGCACCTAATTGATGTTGCCATGTCTGGCCAACCCCTGCCACCTGTTCTGCCTCCAGAATACATTCCTCCTTCCTTTAGGTAAGTAACACTTCATTCTTTAATATTTTTTTATGGTTTATTTAACTTTTTATTTCATGTGCATTGGTGTGAAGGTGTCAGACCCCCTGCAACTGGATCTTCAGACAGTTGTGAGCTGCCATGTGGGTGCTGGGAATTGAACCCGGGTCCTCTGGAAGAGCAGTCAGTACTCTTCAGCCCCCGTAACACTTGATTCTTGAAGGAATTTGCATGGATTCCAATCTTGGCTGTTTCCTTTTCCTGGCACGAAGATGAACTGTCCGAAAGAAGTGCCTTTAGGTCAGCGCTGGCCCTGGTCCTGTTCCATTCTCCTAAGCACTTGCACATTCCATATAGTAAAAGCATCAAGTGAAAGTCCAGCGTTGCCCGTTTTGTGCCCATCTGTCACTGAAGCTCCCCAGAAATTATACTCACACGATGACAGAGAACAAACGGGAGGCATGTCGGAAATCAGAGGTCACACCTGCCAATCATGCACATTCAAGAGGGAACAAAATGCTGGCACTGTAGAAATTATAATCAGGAAGGTAATTCTTAAAAATTATCCTGGCTGAAACATACTCAGTAGAGATGTCAAGAGTGCCCACGAGATATAGTCAGGAGAAGCCTGCAGGGATTGTCATCCCCACTCGCACCTGTCATGTGTGAACACAGCATCCCAGAATGGTCCATTTACTGAACAAAAGACAAATAAGATCTACACTTATATTCAGAGTCCTTAGCTCTCAGGGGAGACTTGGGCACAGACTCTCTAAAATGAGCCACAGAGCCATCAGTATCTGCTTCTGTGTGGTTCTGGGAGCAAGGTAGGGAATCACACAGGAAGAAAGCAGCAGGCAGCAAAACCCCTCAGCTTTAGGAACCCATGAGAGAAACTGAACATCTCAAGGTGGTGTTTAAAAGAAAGCATTAAAAAGAAGAGAGAATTGTTTTGTTTTTTTGACAGGATCTCACTCTGTAGCCTTGGCTATCCTAGAACTCACTCTGGAGACCAGGATGGCCTTGAACTCTTAGAGATCCACCGGTCTCTGCCTTCTGCTGGAATTAAAGGCATGTGTCACCACCACCTGGCCGAGAGGTTGTTTTCAAAGACAGAGGTTGAGGGTTTAATGTGACATTTATTAATAAATGAGTCGATTTGTTTTCAGAATTATAAATATATTTTGTGTGTAGGGGGTCTAAAGTAGAGTTTCTAAAGGGAAAAGTGTTAGTCCCAGTTAGCTGCACTGTTGCCTTCCTTGGGGAAGCTGAGAATTACTTCCAAGGGTAATGGTAATAGCCACTAACACTTACTGCGTGGTTATGTATTCAGCCCTCATGGGTTGTTCTAACTCATGGCAATTCTAAATGTTTTACTGGTTCTGGGACCGCGATGGTTTGGAGAGTGCTAGGATCAACATCCAGGATCTTGTATATCCTGGCATGTGCCACCACCGGGCTGCATCTCTAACGATGAGCGACATCCAGGATCTTGTACATCCTGGCATGTGCCACCACCGGGCTGCATCTCTAACGATGAGCGACATCAGGATCTTGTACATCCTGGCATGTGCCACCACTGGGCTGCATCTCTAAGGATGAGCGACATTGTGAGCAAGTTTGGCACTCGGAATCTGATGGCATCTAAATGCCCATTTAAAAACCTTTATAAGTTAGAGAAAAGCAAATCTCAGCCTTTTCTCACTCTCACTGACACCTGCTCCAGGGTGTGCTCTAGTCAGCCCTTCCTGTCCTTCCTTTCTTTCTGCAGAAGGGTTCGCTCCGGCAGTGGGATGTCCGTCATAAGCTCTTCGTCTGTGGATCAGAGGTTGCCCGAGGAGCCGGCTTCAGAGGATGAGCAGCAGTTAGAGAAGAAGCTACCCGGTGAGCGGCCACAGCCGATTGGCTGATGGATGGCAGAAATGGCAATGAGCTTAGTTTCTGGCACTTGGCCGATTCTTCAGCTGCCCATAGGCAGGAGACAGACACCTTTGGAACCACTGTCAGCAATGGAATTGTTGTGTACTCTGCTGATGCACCTGCCGTGAAATAAAACTTCTGTAACAGTAGCCTGGCAGTGGTGGTGCGCATGCCTTTAATCCAAGTACTCAGAGACAGAGGCAGGTGGATCTCTGTGAATTTGAGGACAGCCTGGGCTACAGAGCAAGTTTCAGGACAGCCAATACAGAAAACATGTCTGGAAAAACAAAAACAAAAAAAAAAAAAAGAAAAGAAAAAAGACAAAAACTTCTATGAATGTCACCCATGAAATCCATAGCACTTAACTTTGGTGTTAAGACAGTTTCTTGGTATCAACAATGCCATAGTAACAGATTGAGTCACCTATTGGTATTTTCTTTTGCTAGTCTAGGAGATCTGGGGACTTGGAAACAGAAGGAGAGTATATTAATATTAATGTGAACTGATTTTAAGTAACCCTCATTTTCAATGGCAAATCTATTATGCTATTAAGTTAGTCTGAAATGAGATGACTCTGAATTATTAATGAGATGATAATGATACTAAGAAGCAGTTGAAATTATTGATAAGTCTCTTTGTCATAACCACTTTGCTAGTGTCTCTTGGCTGTATTTTCAGTGCTTCCCAGTTAATTGATTGACTGAGGCACTCACTCTTCAGCTGATTAAACTGCTTTTCAATTATGTGTAATGCTAAAATACTTGTTGTAAATGATCTATGAGCTAGGCTGTGTGTTACGTACAGTGAAAAATTTAAATATCACTGTGATTATACTCTCAGGAGTACTATACTAGTTTTAGAGTGGGGGCTTGTGAGACACAAGTATCTTCCTTCCTGAGTCCTGTGTGTTCTGAGATTTCAGGTATGTGTCACTCCAGTGACCGAAGCGTGTGTGTGTGTGTGTGTGTGTGTGTGTGTGTGTGTGCGCGCGCGCGCGCTCGCGCGCTCAGGCCAAGCTATGGCTGGCCAGGATGGGGAACAGTAGTGGAACACACCTCCATAGAACGAGTCGTCACTTCTTGTGTAGGGACTGCTTGTGTAGGGTTCCGTGGAAATGAAGTGTCGTCCTCAAATAAATACAAGAATTCTTAGATTTGGAATTGTTTCTTTCTGTTGGCAGTAAACATTCGTTTATGGCCTTAAAACAGGAGAGGACCTTGGCAGAGTATTTTGGCTTTGCACTCTTCTCCCTCCTCCACACCTAGGAGATTATAAGGACCTTGGGCAGTTTTGGGTTTGGGTTGAAACTGAAAGTATGCTTCTGAGTCTTTCTTTGAAAGTGACTATTCTTTTCATTATTGATGTCCCCTTTGTTTTAAAGTAACATTTGAGGACAAGAAGCGGGAGAATTTTGAACGTGGCAATCTGGAGCTGGAGAAGCGCAGGCAAGCCCTCCTGGAGCAGCAGCGCAAAGAGCAGGAGCGTTTGGCTCAGCTGGAGCGCGCCGAGCAAGAGAGGAAAGAGCGGGAGCGCCAGGAACAGGAGCGCAAAAGACAGCTGGAGCTGGAGAAGCAGCTGGAGAAGCAGCGGGAACTGGAGCGGCAGAGAGAGGAGGAAAGGAGGAAAGAAATCGAGAGGCGAGAGGTGGGCAAAGGAACTCCCTGCGTCTGGGGTCGCGTTCAGGCACACTGTTCTTTTTCTTGTGAGTTGCAGTGCATCTAGAGTTGTCCAGTGGTCGCTATCCCAGAACATCCATGGCCCACTGACCAGCTGCTCCCCACCCAGTCCCCTCCCAGTGCCTGGGAATTGCTGCTTACATACTGTCTTTATTTACCTTTCCGTAGAAGTGGTGAATTTGGTGCTAGACCTGGATAGGGGAATCGGCTCCTTCTCTGTCCTTCTTGTTTGAGTATATTGCTGCAAAAGCAATGCTGCTGTTCTTCCACGTGAATACAATGTAAAGAGAAGTCTTTCCTTATTAAAAATATGTTTTGGTTTCCTCTTCTAGTTATTGCTTTAGAAAAAGTATGTTGTCATTAGGAGCTTTCTGTTCGAGCACATATGTACACATGCTAACAGGGTTTTGTGTTTGTGTGGTGCTGGGGACTGAACACAGCAGCGCTAAGCAGATGGTGACATCTGTAGTTCCTGGAGAAACAGAGTGACCCTCTGCTGTGTGTCCTCAGGGCATCGCAGCGTAATCTAGAGCTTGCTAAGTGAGAGGCAGCCACACTGAGCACGTGAGCTCTACCAAGCAGTCAGTGTAGACTAGTTGACACTTTGAGACTACAGCTTTTATGCTTAAAACGTCCACTCAGAAAGTTAGATTTGGGACTTTCACATTAGGGAAGGTTAACCAGTGAAGCCCATGCAGACACCTCAGGAACCAGAAACACTTCTGGTCCATATCGTCATCTGGACAAGAACCATTCAACTTATATGTAGTAACTTCTCTTTTAAGAGGAGAAAATCAAGTTTATTTGTTTTTGCCCTTGAGGATTTTAGTTTGATTTTTGCTAGATAAGAAAAATACCCTTCTTCCTTGAGTCTGTAAACAAGGACGACACATTTACATAGTCCACCATGCTTTCTGGGAGGCAAGAAGAATGGGCTCCAGTGTGAGAGGCTCTGTCGTATGTCTCATAGTCAGAACCTGGTGCTATGTGAGCTCTGACAGTGCGGTATTTCACCTTTAGAAGGAGGGGCTTCCTAGACGGTAAGAAACATCGCATGGTGTTAGGATTAAGAAACTAATAAGCTGTAACCACAGGCCGCAAAACGGGAACTTGAACGGCAGCGACAACTTGAATGGGAGCGGAACCGGAGACAAGAACTCCTGAATCAGAGGAACAAAGAGCAGGAGGGCATTGTCGTCCTGAAGGCGAGGAGGAAGACTCTGGAGTTCGAGTTAGAAGCTCTGGTGAGTGCCCATCTTTAGGCTCAGCCCAACACAGGGGACATCAGTCCAGCCCAGGGGACATCAGTCCAGCACAGGGGACATCAGCCCAGAGCAGGGGCATCAACCAGAGCAGGGGACATCAGCCCAGAGCAGGGGACATCAGCCCAGAGCAGGGGACATCAGCCCAGAGCAGGGGCACCAACCAGAGCAGGGGACATCAGTCCAGAGCAGGGGACATCAGCCCAGAGCAGGGGACATCAGCCCAGAACAGGGGATATCAGCCCAGCCCAGGGGACATCAGCCCAGAGCAGGGGACGTCAGCCTAGCACAGGGGACATCAGCCCAGCGCAGGGGACGTCAGCCTAGCACAGGGGACATTAGCCATCACCCTTACCCCTGCTGTCTTTCATTTGTTAAAGAATGACAAAAAGCATCAGCTAGAAGGAAAACTTCAGGATATCAGATGTCGACTGACAACCCAAAGGCAGGAAATTGAGAGCACAAACAAGTCGAGAGAGCTGAGAATTGCCGAAATCACCCACTTACAGCAGCAACTACAGGTGAATTCCGTGCCTGGATTTTAATTCATTTACTTATTCATTATTCATTATTCATTATTCATCCCCACTGTTCATTGGGCATGGGGTGGGGGGCAAGAGGAAATAGTTAGGTTGGGTCTTTGCCTGAGGGGTGGCTTCCCAGTAAACTAACAACTCTTGCTGAACATGTGTGGGCCCAGAGTCTGCAGCAGTGAGCAGCAGAGATGGTGTTCTCTGTAGGGTGGAGGTCACTAACCACGTAGTAAAGTATGTAATGAGTGAGTTTCTCTCTCCCACAGCGCCCAGGGCCAGAGCTGCTTAAGATTCTAGGTTTTCTTTTTTTTTGACTTCAGAATATTTGCATATGTATACTGAGTATCTTAGGGAAAGGAGCCCAGTCTATTTAGATATGAACTTTATGGTGCATATATATTCCTTATATGCAGAACTTGAAAATAATTTTGTGATGTTTGTAACTCTCAGGCCAGGTGTTGAATTTTCCACTTGAGGCTTCTTGCCAATCTTCAAAAAGCATTTCAGGGTGTAGAGTTTACACAGAAGGTTTCAGATCCCACTGGCTGAGTGGGAACGGGAGAGGAGGAACCTAGGTACTAGGAAAATTTTTAGCTTAACTCAGGTCTGCTGGACAGGCTCTTCTGTGAGGATAGCTTTTGAACGAAGACCTGAAACTGATGAGGAGCTCAAAACTCCAGGCAGGGAAGAGCAGTGTCTGTCCTGAGGTCACCCCAGGCTGGGGCGGGGGTGGGGGGCAGTTCCAGAGTGACAGCACCCGGACTGCTGGGTGGAGCAGGTGGGAAGCAGGTCCCAGGGGACTGTTGTCCATCAGTGGGATGTTGGTTTACTGTGGTGATTACTAGGATCAAGCGTTTCGGTAGTTATGTGAAGCGACCATGGAGATGACTAGTGTGGATTCAGTGGAATGCTGTTAGCATTTCTGCCTCCATCTGCCTGTCCAGATGTGTGATGTCATCACTTGCCTTGCTATCAAAGATTGAACTATAGGGGCATCACTGGATGCTGCCATTATCTGTAGGTTGTCTGTCCTTTGAAATGCGTCTGTGTCGGACTTTTTCTCTCAGCACCTTGGCTAGGGGATTTAGTCACACTGAGTGGCTAGTAGATTCCCTTTCTAGTCTCTAGGTAGCATTCCACCGTTTATCCAGTTGTAGAGTTTAACATTTTTTTTTTTACTACATTTTTATTATATGTGAGTGTGTGGGCACAGTGCATGTAGATATCTACCGTGTGGCTTCAGGTTGTCAGGCTTGGAACATCCACCCCCCAAGCCAACATGCTGGCCCCGGCTTGGGATTTTTTCTGGGTAAACCTGCAATGAGAATTTCTGTGCACGTCTTGTGTAGACAGATGCTCTGCTCTTGGGGAAACTGTTCAATGTGAATTGCTGTTCCTCATGAGTTTCATGAGTGGCTGTTGGTGGTGTTTGCACACTTAATTTCTGACCAGCGTGTTGGTGAGTGGCGTGGCTGTTCCCTGTCCTCACCAGCATTTGTTACTTTGAATTTTTCCACTTCTGTTGGGAATATAGCCCTGTGACTTTAGTTTGTGTGTCTCCGCCTGCTAGTGCTATCCTGTGCCAGTTGGGATGTGTATTGGCGTGTGTCTTTGTGTTTTCTTGAAGCACTTGAACAAATCTTTCATCCATTTTTATTGGATTGAAGAACGGTGGGCTCCTTGTGTTGTTTTTAACCAGCTATTTGTCAGATAACTTGTTTTGCAGGTATATATCTTCAACCATTCTACCCCCAGCCTTCACTTACTTCTTTTGTTTGTTGTGTTTTGTTTGTTTGGTTTTTGAGACAGGGTAGTACCGTGTGTCCTGGCTGGTCTGAAAGTGTCTGTAGACTAGGCCAGCTCTGTTCCCACATGCTTCATGCCTGTGGCAGTCGCTGGAGTCTCTCCTTTCTTTCCGAGTTTCACAGGCGTGTACCTACGCGCCCCAACTTGTTTATCATTTCTGTGTTTTTTCTAAAGGGCAGATGTTTTGCATTTGATAAGGCTCAGTTTGCTAAATTTTCCTTTGGTTCTAAGAAATCATTGATTCCTCCCATCACCAGTGAGATAAGTCTGTGCTTTCTTTGAGGACTTCCTTGTGGTTGGGTCCAAATCCATTTCAAGTTGATTATTACATACAGGTTAAGATTGATCTGTTGTCCATATTTATAGATACTCAGCATCATTTATTGAACTCTCCCTTTGAAGTTCCTTGGTAGCTGTTGAGAGGTAATTGAATATTCTTATAGAGGTCTGTTTTGGATTGCTCTGCCTGTACTTTCTCCCAGCCTGTTGATAATTATGGCTGTAAGTAGTATGAATTCTCTGTTGTTATCGCCCCCCCCCTTTTTATTTAAGATAGGGTTTCTCTATAGCTTTGGAGCCTATCCTGGAACTCGCTCTGTAGACCAGGCCTCAAACTCAGAGAGATCCACCTGCCTCTGCCTCCCGAGTGCTGGGATTGAAGGCATGTGCCACCACCGCCCAGATTTTCCTTATGTCTGTTCTTAGTTATATATATATATATATATATATATATATATATGTATAATTTAACTTTATTTTATGTGAATTGGTGTGAAGGTGTCAAATCCCCTGGAACTGGAGTTACAGACAGTTGCAAACTGTCATGTGTATGCTGGGAATTGAACCCAGGTCCTCTGGAAGAGCAGTCAGTGCTCTTAGCCACTGAGCCTTCTCTCCAGCCCTCCTGTTCTTAGTTCTTTACATTTCCAAATAAATTGTAGGAATAGCTTGTTAGGTTTTTTTTTAATTTTAGACTTTTGTGAATTCCATCACATTTATAGATGATATAATCTGAAAAGATTTGTTGTCTTAACGATATCTAATCACATGGCCTGTCTTTGTGTCAATACCTGTTTCAGGCGTATTTTTTAGTCTTCAGTGTACAGGTGTTAAGTCTGGAAGATTTTCCTTACAGCCACGTGGTGGTGGCACACACCTTTAATCCCAGTAGTCAGGAGGCAGAGGCAGGTGGATCTCTGAGTTCAAGGCCTGGTCTACAGAGCTAGTTCCATCACAGCCAGGCTACCTTGCCTGGATTGAGGCAGAAAAACCTTGCCTCAATAAATAAATAGTAAATAAACAAGTAAACAAATAAATAAATAAGAAAGTGAGAGAAAGAAAGATTCCCTACAGCTGGAGTTATAGGCAGTTAGGAGCTGAGTACTGGTATGGTGGTTTGAATAGGAATGACCTCAAAGACTCATGTGTATGAGTGCTTGGTCCACAGGAAGTGGCACAATTAGAGGGTGTGGCCTTGTTGGAGGAAGTGTGTCACTGTGGAGGTGGGCTTTGAGGTTTCAAACACTCCAGTTAGCCATAAATTGGCAACAGTCTTCCTTCTGCCTGCAGATCAAGTGTAGGCCTCTTAGCTCCTTCTCTAGCATCATGTCTGCCTGCATGCTGCCAGGTTTCCCACCATAATTATAATGAACTGAACTTGAACTGTAAGCCACCCCAATTAAATGTCTTTGCTTTATAAGAGTTGTTGTGGTCCTGGTATCTCTTCACAGCAATGGAAACCCTAACGTGAACAGCTGGGGATCAAACTTGGGTCCTCTGCAAAACACTGGACCATCTTACCCTTGAGCCATGTTCAGCCTGAGTTATGAATTTTAAAGTGTTGTTTGCATGAGTGAGACACTCCCAGTGGTTGGAACAGGGTTCTTCTTGATGCTTCTTCATCTTGGGTCAAGAAAGGAACTTTGGGGAGTGGGTTGCTAAGAAGCAGAGCAAGTAAAGGAACAGCTGTGTGGGGTTTGCTTCCTGGGACAAAGATTGCTGTGTGTTTTGTTTTGTGAAAGTCTTGCAGTGGGTTACCCATAGCCTGGGAGCTTCCTGAAGCCTCTCTGTTGAGTTAACCTCCTACCATGCAGGCCCAGGACTCATCCCGCAGACGCTGGTGTGTGTGTGTCTGCAGGTGGGTTCCAAAGAGTCTGGTTTGGAGCCTCAGCAGGAAATTCTTCCTTAGGTATTTGTTTCTCACAGCAAGAGTCATTTTTCTCCCTAAGGTAAAAATAAATGTCAAGTAAATCAGCAAGGCTGCCGGTTTACTAAAGTGACTACAAGATCATTTCAGCTGAACTTAAACAAATACTGTGCTTGGCACCTTACCCGTCAGAACTCCAAATAGCCTTCTTTATACAGTGTGGTTTTAGCTTTTTTCTTATGCCAGTTTAAAGAAGAAAAAAGAAAAAAGAGGTTGGTTCAGGACTTCTATGTTTAAAATTTCTGTGTGATGGAAAACATGGGCGGCATCTAGAATCCTAGCTATGGCCAGTGTCCTCCTGAGTTCTGTGGCCTACTTCAGTGCCGTGTACTGAGTACCAGCGCGCACAACAGAGCGGTGGGTACCTCATCCCCAGCATCCGCGCCGGAGCTCTGCACTCCAGAGAGCTTGAGTCTCTCTCAGACCTACTGGGATTACATTGTCTAAATCTTACAAATATCCAGTATGTCAGCAGCCTCATAAGCAGAACCAGGGAAGCTGTCTTTACTTCATCCTAGGGAAAAAGCATCTGGCCGTTAGTTAGTTCCTTGGTGAGAATGGCAGTTCAGTGCCTAAAAGATCCGGGATGGTGCTGGCTTTTCTGAGATTCAGTCATTCACTGCTGTTTTTCCCCCCTCTCTCTCTCCTAGGAATCTCAGCAAACGCTTGGAAGACTTATTCCAGAAAAACAGATACTCAATGACCAATTAAAGCAAGTTCAGCAGAACAGTTTGCATAGTGGGTGTTACTTCTTCATCTGTTTGACCTTTAGAGACAGTTTTGCTGTGTAGACCAGGCCTGCCTCAGAGCCAGAGCTGTGCCTTCCTTAGCGTCCCGAGCACTACAAGGTGTCTTAAGTATGACCGCCCTTTCCTCAGGCCTCGTGTCGGCCATGCGTTTGTTTTTATCCCTTAGTAGTGTTCCTCAGCTTCCACCACCCCCCCTTTGTCAGCAGGAATCCCTCCAGTGATGTGAAGGTCTGGCATGCTCCTCCCTGCTAGCTAAGGCTCTGTCTGTCTCCTGTGTTCTTCTGCAATAGGAGATTCGCTTCTTACCCTCAAAAGAGCCTTGGAAGCCAAAGAGCTGGCCCGGCAGCAGCTCCGAGAACAGCTGGACGAGGTGGAGCGAGAGACCAGGTCAAAGCTACAGGAGATCGATGTCTTCAACAACCAGCTGAAGGTGACTCCTGTGTGTGTGCCCTACCCCGTGACGATGAGGTGATGCTGAATCCCAGGCAGATTTGTTGCCCCGGTTTGTGCACAGTGGTTCAGGCCTTCCGTCCAGCGCATGTCACCCACCTTCTTTGCCGTCTGTACGTTAGGGCTGTGGGATTGGCCCTGCTCCACGTTATAGTTTTACAGATTTCTTTCTCTTTGCCTGTTATTAACCACACCACATACAAGAATAAGGCCCCATGTGCTCTCTTTCATGTGTTCGGATGCTTTTGTTTAAAATTGGGATTTTTCTGCCATTCCTTTAATATCGTGCTTAAGTTTAGACTTGTTTTGTCACCTTTCATTTTTAAATGCCTTTTAACTTTGCTGCTTAGTGGGGGCATGGCTGTCGGTGGTTTTGTCACACTGCACAATAACTCGGGGAGACACCACAAAAAAAGCCTCTTTCTAGTCTGGTGTTTTATTGTCTCAATAATATAGACTTACATTGGGTGTGATAATATACGCCTTTAATCTCAGAACTCAGAGGCTAAGGCAGGTGACTCTCTGTGAGTTCAAAGCAGGATAGAAAAACCCACTTCTTATAATAATTAATATATATTGTTTTAGATTTAGGTAGCTTTTATGTTCTTATCAGAAATTGGATGTTACATTTTTTAAAAAATAACTTGCTTTGGATTTCTACCTTAAAATTTCTCATACTTTACTGTGTATGAGCCATTTAGCTTCTGATACTAAGAAGCAAAATTTCTTTCCTGCTAAAAAAGAATTTTTAAATTAGGAAGCATATTTGAGATTTTTTTGTTGTTGTTGTTACCCTCTGGATTGAGAGTCCATGCCAGATTGTCTAGACATCCAAGTTAAAATATTTGTGCAGTTCTTCCAGCGTTGGGTAATGAACTTTCTCAATTGTACAATTCCAGGAAAGTGCTTGCCCTTTGGGAGTTCTATTTAGCCAACTTAGTGGTTTTTTTTCACATTACTTTTGTGTTGAGCGTGTGTGTGTGTGTGTGTGTGTGTGTACTGCCTGTGTTCTGTATTTGAGCACATGAAAGTGTGTGTGTGCCGTATCAGTATTGGAGGTGCATCTGTGCATTCTCTGTCCACAAGTACAGTAAACATGATCCCATTTGCTCCCATTGTAACTCACCGCTGTTTTAAGCAAAAATAATTTAACACTGAAACACTTTTACAATGTTTGCAAGAACTCCCTGAGTATTACTCAGCTTCTCCCTAACATGGAAAGAACACAGCTTTTTGCCTGAAAGTTGATGACTTTTCTAGAAGTTTGACCTAAGACAAGTTTCAGATGTTAGGAAAGAAGCTCTAGGCAAAGACTTAACTAATGCTCGGATTTGTGAATTAAATGCCATAGGTAGTCACCACTGTTGCCTTTGCTAAAGAAAACAACACCCTTAAAGGGCTGAGTTGCTCTGTGACTAATTAGTGTTTAATTGTCGATACCTGTGGTATCAAAGGTTCTCAAAGGCTAATTTTAGCTTCCCCACACACTGGTTTTTTCCCAAATATGCTTATTTTAAAATTATAACCTTTCTGCCGTTTTAATTCCTGTTTGGCTTTTTATTAACTGTAAAGTTCATGTGGCAAATGCAAGCATAGCTGTGTTATTTGTAGCCTGACATCCACTTGCAGGGTCAGGTGAAGGTATTTTATTGTCTTCAGTTTGTTGCTTCTAAGATCCCTGTGAAGCCTGTAGAAACCAAAACAGAAACGTTGTTGCAGAACCAAAAGATTTGTCATTCTGTTGAGACAACAGAGGGGCTGGGCTGTGTTAGCATTTGGTTTCTTTGTGGTCTCCTGCTGTTCTTTATTCCGCCACACTGGAAGATACACAAAGCACCTTCCCTGAGGAGAGACTACGTGTTCATTAGCAACCATCATTTCTTGTAGGGATTAGATCAGCAGGAGCCCCGACCTGACCCTAGTGTTTGAGTCCTCTCCATACAGCAGTGCTTCGGAGCCACTGGAGTAAATGGAGCAAGATTTACTTCTGTCTTGCCCAGAGAGGAGCACGGCCAGTGTCCAGTCATCCCACACACCTAGCTAGCAGATTTGGTTCATGTTACTGAAGGTTGCTCGTCCCCCAGGCAGAAGGATGAAGGTATTCACTGTCTGGGCTCCCAACAAAGCTTTAGTGAGTTGCCTAGGACCCTGAGGCCACGTGAAGCAGTTGTCCACGCAGTGTTGGACTCAGAAGCCGCAAAGGGGATAATCGGACCCTGGTACAGGGTAAGACTGTGCATGGGCGGGTATAAGTTGTCTAGTTTTATGACAGAGAAATAAAGACTAAGGATGTTTATTATTTTTTCTTTTTATAAGCAAATAACAATCACATAATCTAATTTGTCCATTTGTGTAGAATGTCTACTTCAAATTCATTCTTCCTCTGAGGGTTTTTCTCATATTCTTTATTTTAGGAAGAATTACTCATCTATACTCTCTAGCTGATAAACAGTGTGGAAATTCTCAAGTCTTTTTTTTTTCTTTTTAGTTTTTTTGAGACAGGGTTTCTCTGTGTAGTCCTGGCTGTTCTAGAACTCACTCTGTAAACCAAGTTGACCTCAAACTCACAAAGATCCGCCTGCTTCTGCCTTCTGAGTGCTGAGATTAAAGGTGTATGCCACCGCCACCACCCCCGCAGGCTTCAAGTCTTTAATAAAGAGAGAACAGTGTCTTGCTGTAGGCAGATAGCAGGCCTTTATTTCATATCGGAGTCCGCATATTAGACTGCAAAACCTGGTAAGCTGGCATTCTCAGAGTGACACTGCGAGTGACCTCAGCTTTAACACACGTCCTCAAGTGCTCTCTCGGAAACGCAGGCTCCTTCTTTGCTTTCCATGCATCTGTAGATCCCTTGTCAGTATAGTGTTGAGGACAGATGGCCCAGTGGTAGCATGAGCAAGGCTGGGGTTCACCCACCAATCCCACAAAGTCCCAGGATGATCTTAGCTTTGCATTACCACCAAGCCATAGACCTTGCTTTTGTCTATAAAGGAGAGTGGGGGAGGCAGAAGTTTAGCATCCTGACACCTGGGGGATCCTACGCTGGTGATTCCTGATTTGACATGGCTAAAATTCAGACTCAAAAGATTTGATGGGAACTTTTTAAGTCAGCCTCTGGACAGTCGATGGTCAGATAAACCATTCAGGCTGTACCCTACTACCCAGGGGCAGAGTCAGTAGCCAGCATTGCTGCTATAAATTCTCTCTCTCTCTCTCTCCCTTCCTCCCTTCCTCCCCCTTCCTCCCGTCCTCCCCCGCCCTCTCTTTCCCTCCCTCCCTCCCTCTCCCTCTTCCTCTCTGTCCTTCTTTTCCTCTCTCCCTCCCTTCCCCCTCCCGCCCTCTCCCTTTTCCTCTCTCTCTCCTTCTTTTCCTCTCTCCCTCTCTTCCCTCCTCCCTTCCTCTCTCCTCTACTTTTGAGACAGGCTCTGTCTGTGTAGCCCTGGTTGTTCTGGAACTCAGTATATCCTGCCTCTTTCTCAGGAGTTCTGGGATTAAAGGCCTGTGCCACTGTGCCCAGCTGTGTTATTACTACTTATATCTTCATTCAGTGTCCAAATTTATTTACCAGAAATTTTTATTGATAAAATGTATCTGATGTACAACAAACATCTCAAATTCATGTTCTTAAAAATACCAGTTTTAAATGATTTAATCTGTAACTTTGTTGCTATATCTCATTTTACAGGAAATCAAGTTTCAACTTTTTCAGACAATTTGTGGTATCTAAAGGACACATAGGGACATGTGTATAATTATTGGGGGCTCTTCAACTTACAGTGCTTAGAAATACAAAATCATGGTTCTGAAAAGCTTCCGATAACACTGCGAAGAAGCTCTCTACCTCCCCTTGTCTTTGACAGTGTTAGTGGCTATTGGAACAGTTTTCCTTGGCACCGACAGTCTAATTATATTCCAATATTTTAACCATAATGTTGAGTAGTTGCATAAACATGGCTTATAGTTTATAAAACTTTGCTGTGTATCAAATACAGAGACTCCAGCACCCAGAGAGGTGAGGCTTTGTGTTTCCCATTCAAACGTTGGTTGAGTGCTGCTGGACACATCTTAACATTTAAACGTTTGAACTTCTAGTCAGTGGCAATGGAGGAAGCAGAGTGGGAGGAGCCTTACAGTTCTGGCCACATCATCCACTTAGACTTCTTCCTAAAGGTCTCCATGCCCTACTCAAACAGCCTTTCTCAGGCTCAGGATGGTGACAGTCTCCTGCTCTGTGCTTCAATCTGCCCTCCGGATGAGTGCCCAGGCTCTGAGATGGCGCTAGCAGGGAGCCCTGAGACGTCTTGCTAATAGTAATGATTGGGGACACTTGCTTTTCCCTCCCAGCAAGTTGTGTGTGAGGAGGTGTGAACACTAAATCACAAGCAGGACAAGGTATTGTAGTCTCTTAATAACAGACATTTTAGATAATTGAATTTAACAGTATAAAAATGTAAAAGAGGGCAATTAGTTTTATGAGTATTTTTCCATTATGTATGGGCAGAGCTGCGCTTGGTACATTATTACAAAAGCTGACCGTATTTTATTTATTTCTTAGTGAAATCTGAGTATTTAGGGAAGATTCAGAACTAAGAATCATGGTCCATAATACACTTAGGAAATCTGATTTCTTATTTTAAGTGCAGGATCATCAGAGATTCTGTCCATGCCGATAGCTAAGAACTGAATGGATATTGAAGTGAGTGCCAGTCGTGGTGAATGAGGCTGCTTGCTCACGAAAGGCTTTCATGCTCCTGGTTTCACACTGCCTTTCATGGCAGGCTCATTCACTGTGAAGGCGGTGAGAGGCAGAATGTTAGCAGCAAGGGGAGAAAGAACCCCAGAACAGACTGAGAAATCAGGAGGGAAACAGTGGCAGAAAGAGGATTGGAGAGACCGCGGGAGAAAGCACCTAGCGGTGGTGCCTCCATGACAGACAGATGTCTGTCCGCTTCACATTTACCTTCTCCCTTTGTTCAGCAT